CCCCAACAGGCGACTATGCGATGGTGAACTCTATGAAAGAGAACCTGCCCGTGGACACCTACAACATATCGGTGCGCATTACGGACAACGGGATACCCCCGATGGGGCATGTGTCTGAAGTGGTGATCAAGGTGTGCGAATGCAGCGACCATGACGTGTGCAAGGCGGAGCGGCAGGCGGCCGGCCTGGGCATGGGCGCCATCATCGGCATCCTTACGGCGTTCCTGCTGCTGCTATGTGAGTCGAACTCTCCCGTCGCCGGCTCTCAGCTGGAAGGGTGGCACGGCGCAGGGAGAGACGCGCTTGGGGCGCCGACTCCGCAACCCAGTCATGGCCAGCACCTCGATTTATAATTTATACCGGCGCCTCCCTTTGCTGCGGTACCTTGCAAGGCGCTGCAACAAAGTGGTGTTGGAGGTTATTATGGAGTAAGGAAGTGATTGCAAACTAAATAGTGTTTATAAACAATACAGTTTAGAGCAGCTGTCCTCAACCTTTTTGGTACCAGGGACCGATTTTCACGGACTGGGGTGGGGGGGGGGGGGTTCATCATTGGGTCTTTCCCCCTTTTCAAAGAAGCTCTCCAGCGACATTTGTTTTTTACTCATTGTGGCTACTTAGGGCTTAGAGCTTGTGGGCTTTATACCAACACTGTGACTGAGACGAGTGGCGCAGTGCGGGAAAGAGGCGTGGACGGAAGTGGTAAATAATAAAATAATGGGGGCAGGCCACGCGCGGACTCACCGCTCTCACCTCCTGCTGTGCGGCCCGGTTCCTAACAGGCCACGGACCGCTACCGGTCCACGGCCCGGGGGTTGGGGACCCTTGGTTTAGAGGCTATGCGAAAAAAGTTTGACGAAATAAAGTTTGCCGTCCTCGCCGTTCCAATATCAGGGTCGACAGTCCAGCCAGCTGAGGGGGGGGGGGGGGTTGTCGCCGCTCTGCGGTGTGTTTTCGGGTTGTACTGAATTTTGGTGGGCATGAGTTCCGACATTCCGTTCCACTTGCTGGGAGCTTCTTCAAGGATGGAAATTCAGCTCCGTTCAGCTCCTCAAGAAGCCCCCAACAACGTGAAGCGAACAACACGGGGAGGGGGGGGGGGTGTGTGGGAGAGCTGCACGGTGCCACTGCTATAATAAAGCCCACGCACTAGGGAGCTTTTCTCAGATGCTGTCGCACACAACAAAGACGAGCATAATAATCTCCCTTGTAGCTTCCATGAGACGGTTGGGATTTGGGATGCTGTTAGCGAGTGGCCGTGTGAAGGCTTGTACGGCTTGCACGGCGGGGTAGAGTGGCTAGCGCAGGGGGTCTGCAACCAAAATAATGAGAAAAGCCATTGTTTCAGAATTCCGTTAAAAAATAAAATATTTCACAAGCCGCAATGCATGTTAATAGGAGATGGTCCTTAATAAATAACAGGCACGAAGGAATCCTTAAAGAGTCGCGTGCGGCTCCGGTGCCGCAGGTTGCTGACCCCCCGGGGCTTGCACCACGTCCCGCTGACCTTTATCAGACCTGGGGCTAATTACATACAATTGTGTTTGTGTCATTCATGATGAATTGCAATCAAAATGGAATTGTAAGTTCGGCTGACAAAATGCTGCTTTAATTGTTAATTATAATTGATCCCAGGTGTGTAATATTTACTCATCACACCAGGTGTTCAATTAAGGGCGGAGTTCGACCTAGGGTGAGGAGGCCCAGGAGTGGTTTGGATGACGCTTGCCGAACTCCTGCGCGTTTGTGTGTGCGCAGTGCTTCTCTTGCTGTTCCTGGTGTACCGGAAGAAGGGCCAGCAGAAGGTGGTGAAGGTTTACTCACAAGACGAACTGCGTGACAATCTCATCAAATACGACGAAGAGGGCGGTGGAGAGGAGGATCAGGTGGGGACACTTGGCACTCGCCATTATCATGTACCTATGTATGCGCTATCATTAGCACGGTTGGCTATGTAAGGTGCGAAATAAGTTCTACATACATCATTAGCCATGATCCATCCACTGCTGGATGAAGGCCCATGTCCGTTCCAATCTCTCACGTTCTCCTGCACACTAGCTTATAACTCGGCGATCCGTCTTCATGGCGGGCGTCCTCTCACACAGGTTTCCCTCCTTTGGCTGCCACTCCATCACCAGTTTCTCCTATTGGCCATCATCCAATCTATCCATGTGTTCTACTCAAGCCCACTTGATGTAATAGGCCTGAGCTTCTTACATTCTTCCTTTGCCTTCTTGCCTAAACACTAACCCTGATCCCACCCCCTCCCCACCATGTCATGTGCCCCCGCCCCTCACCTTCCTTTCTCCACAGAAATACGACGCGAGCCAGCTGCCGTACCTGCTGGGCGAAGAGATGCCGGTGGCACGGCCCGTGATGGTGACACGCTACGACCAGGAGCCCGAGGGCGAGCGCCCGCGCTTCCCGGCCCGGCCACCTCGTGACGGCAGTGCTGAGCCCAACATGAGCGGGTTCATCGACGACGTGAGTAGGGCGAGCGAAAAAGGGTGGACGCGCACGGACGCTCGTGGGAGAGTTGGGGGCACGTGCACCACCTGATGCGAAATGTCAACTCCACGCGCCAGTGAAACGATCGCTGCGTTTTGGTGAAATGAGAAACGTTGTGAGGCCTGATGAACGATGATTGGACTTCAGAGTACCCCAACCCTTGGTGACCTCTGCCCATTATCTAATTGGAAGTTGCCATGCCAGTCGCCCACTAGGGGGAGCGGCAATCAGTTTTGTGAAAATATTCATTTGTCCCAAGTTACATTGTTTTTTGTTTACAGTGAAAAATAGTGAAGCAACTATTGCCAGTTACAATCGCCCTAAGACGACCTTAACGTGCCCACGGTAAAGTTATGCAGAAAGGGGTCGTTGTCTTTTTTGCCTATCTCCATCCCCTAACATCCTCACCTCTCACTCCACCACGCAGAGCCTGAAGGCGGCCGACGGAGACCCAACGGCGCCGCCGTTCGACACGCTGCTCGTGTTTGATTTTGAGGGCGAGGGCTCGGTCGCCGGCTCCGTCAGCACCATCAACACGGCGAGCTCGGACGAGGATCAGGACTACAAGTTCCTCGACAACTGGGGACCGCGCTTCCACAAGCTGGCCGATATGTACGGGGGCACGGAGTGAGCACGGCGGAGGCCTGATGGGGGGGGGGGGAGGGGGGGGAAGACGAGCAGGAGGTGGTGGTTACGAGTGGTGCATGTATGCAGGGTATGGTGATGGATCGGAGGGAGATGAAGCGTTATAGAAAGAGGGGAGGGTACTGACGGGGATGCCGAGAGGAATTATAGGAGGCGAGTGATCATGGGGAGGTGTGAAAAATTATATGGGAATGGATGGGGGTTTCATACGGGTAGGTTAGGGTTCAAAGGAGATGGGACTAGAGCTTCAGTTGTGTTTGGGGGGGGGGGTATGGGATTTGGCAAGCAGTGGAAAGAAGTGGGTGTAAGGCTGTGCTGGGGTTAGGGTGGTGGTGTTGGGCTTGGAACAACCCTGCCTGCATTGGGAGGAAAGGAGCTTTAGGCAAAACTGGGTTGAAGATGACAAGAAAAAAATGTCAGGAACTATGGTAAAGAACGAACAGGGACGAAGTTAGAAGCTGTTACAATTAATTAGGATACATAGTTGAGTGGTTGTTGGGTTAAATTATGTAAACGAATAACATGGAGGATGTAGCAATATCAAAGAGGTTAAGAATCAGGAAGAGAAAGTGATGTTGTTTGCAAAATTATGGGCCGTGGAAGCAGTGATGTTAGTTGTAAGGTTAGGAGTTTGGGAGATGGTAGTGGTATTACAGAGGGTTTTCGATATTTAAAGAGGTAGTGAAAACATTAATGGTCTGGGTCAGGGAAAATCTGGGGGCAAAAAAAGCCTTTACTGGCTTGGCACAAACGGGGGATGCAGGTCGGCAGGGCATTCAACACAACGGTTAGGCACGGTACTCGCGTGGAGGTGATGAAATCCTCGGAGCACCCACCACCGAACAGAACCTGGGTGGTTCGGCCCACATGGCGGCACGGCAGCACCGTGGACATACAAGCCGAAAAATGCATCCCGTCGTTATGCATCGACACATGTGTGTGGACCGCCATGAAACGGAATGGGCCTTTTGAATATATTAGGACTGATTTTACCGTAGCCTTGCAAGTACTTTCGAAAGGCGTGCTTGTATTTTTAAGTTTCTTAATTAAACGAAACGAGGATCGTGCATGTATGCATTTTAATATAACGAGATTCTCCAAACCGAAACGTGCAGGGGTTCCCGACCTTTTTTGGATCCGTAGTCCACTGTCAACTCGACGTTTTCACGGACTAACATGCACCCAACAAACGAATGTGTTTTTATACATCAAAACTACTCTTGTATCAAGTATCCGCAAAAGTTATGTGGACCACTTCTGCCGCAGCCTTACGGTGGCAAAACGCCGGTGTCCCCGCGGGGAGCACAGGTTAGGAACCGACACGCTTAGTGGTTGATGGTCGTCTTGTTAAACAGGGTGCTGTGGGTTCTCTCATGTAGACACGCTTCGCTTGGTGCCTTTTTGTATGCGCGTGGATTTGGTGTTATTCGTCTGCATGTAGACTGACCAGAGTTGACGAAACTTTAATTCAGTTTTTGTATTGTCAGAAAGCTTGACTTTTTAAGAATGAGCCTTACAATAGCCATCCCTTATACAAAATGTACAAATGGTTGCTAAGATATGGTAATGTTATCAATGTTGCCTAATTGTACAATGCATTAATTGCAACTCCCAATCAATTTAAATAAAAAATGTTTTAAATGTTTTATTGTTGTTTTTATTTCTTATCACACTTATCAAATAACATTGAACTGGCAGAGCCAATCTGAATGAAACCCCCAATCCCATGGGCATCTACAGTATGCTAGCAATTTGAAAATAATGTTAATCTTTTAAGTGCTGAACAATCCTCGTGAAAGTTCTGGGGACTGCCATTTGTGGAAGGAACACTAGGTGACCACAGAAGATCCATAGCTTTTGCAGTATTTATTATACAATCCAGGCATTCAATTTTGAAAATAAGCACACTCCTCATTGCCTCCTCCCCCACTGCTACTGGGAGTTTCCCCACTCATTTGACAGCTACAGGGCAAGGAACAATGCACAGGACAAAGTTGCACCACTTCTTCCAGGCTGCACAACTGGTGTCCCATTAACGTCTATCCACTTTGATCGGTGCCACTATTTTACTTTTACACAAGCTTTTGGCGGTGTAAAGGGGCGAACTGGGAAATGGGCTATAGATCCAACAAGTCCATGTCAACTTACACCTCCCTTATTTTGGCGAGTTTAAATGCATGCCAATTGTTTTATCCGATATGGCAGATTTCCCTGCATGATACCAGGAATAGTAAAAGCCAGATAAGTGTTTTGGTTAATGTCCTGTAAATCTGTGAAGAACTGCAGCTGCTAGGTTGTGGACTGACAAAGGAATATACATTTCCATAATTTTAAAGCAAAACCTAAATTATCCATACCCATTAGGCATAAGTGGCCATGTCACTGGAGCACCATAATGACCGTAGTCTTTTTCACATCAAAAGTACATTGGCCACCCCCTGACACAGTCAAGGTGTGTTCAAGAATGAGAAGCAACATCTAAAATGTACTGTGATCTGTGGAATAATTGCCATCCCTGGAGTGACCAGCACAGGTCTTGATTATTCCTCCAGCAATCACGAATCAAAACTGCCCAGAAATACTAATTACCCACATTACCTGTGGGTTTAGATTTGGTTTCTATTTTACCAGCAAAAGGTAGTTTAGTGATTAAAATTATCATGCTACCTTCAGAAAATGTCTTGCATGGAAATAAATTATTTGTAACACATTGTATACCATGCTATTGGATGGCGTACACCCGACAGCCATCAGAGCTACCACATTTATCACAAATGGGGAAAAATACCATTATTGAACTGAATCGCAACCCTCCAAAGGGAGTGACTCTCCAAGTAGAGTTTAGCTTGATAGATGTGGTGCAAGCTGGGTGGTTTTGTAATTGCCACCTCCAGTGGCAGTAATCAATAGCAATAAAACCCAAACATTGTGGAACCACTTTCGATGTATTTGTATTATTTCCCTTCTACGAGACTTTACCGAAAGAACCAAGAATATTGTGGAACCAGTTGGTTCTGATTCTAAACAGGCAACCAGCGATGGATTCCCAGCCATGGCTAACATCAACAGCGAGTGATATCAGAACCCATCTTTTCGCACCCTGACACTAATCCAAACTAATGAGCATGTGGTTAATGACTGTCAACAAACCCCCATGACCGAAAGTGTGGCGAGGCTTTCACCCAGCAGTGAACTGATAAAGGCCTACATTTTAAAACAATTTAGCAGGGTGAGCACGAAAATCTTTGGGAGGTCTCGTCTCAATGGCAACAACGGTAGCAAGGTTGTTGCTTCCTCTGTGGTAGACAATGGGTGACAGGCAGCAGCAGTGTTCAGTACTGCAGGAGCGACTGCAGCATGTCAGCCTCCAGGAGCTCACGCCCTCGCAGCTCCACAAGCTCGATCACCACGAGGCACTGCAGCACGGTGCCGCCCAGCTTCTGGATGAGCTGGACCGCGGCCGCCATGGTGCCTGTGGAAGGAGGGAGTGGGGGGGGGTGACACTGCAAGTGTAAGTGATTGCATGAGCTGACTGGACGGATGGACAATCTGAAAGATGGATAGTCCGATTGAGAAATGGTGGTGGGGGTAGGATGGATAGATAGATATTTAGATGGACAGGCTTCCTTCCTGAAAGACTGGGCACATACCCCCTGTGGCGATCAAATCATCCACGATGACGACGTTCTGTCCAGGCTTCAGGGCGCCCATCTGCGCCTCCACCACATCCTGTGGGACAGAGCGTAAAACGGTTATGGAATAACGCGGCTCGGCGAGAGCACAACAAGGAGCAGCGCGGTTCCAGTGCGGTTACAGGTAGATTGGGGGCTTTGACAAAAAGCCTTGGTTGGAGGAGCAGAGTGCGATTAAGAGGCGATAGATGGGAGTGAGATGAGAGGTAGCAGAGTGGATAGAGGGGAGTAAAGTGAGATGAGAGGGCAGAGGTATGCAGGGGACAAGTCCCTGCAGGATTTTGAAGAGGGTTAGTGCAACTTTGAAATTGATCTGGGATGAATCGGGAGCCATTGGAGTGACTCAAGTATTGGGGCCATGTGGTCTCGTTTACGGGTGCGGAGTGTGGCAGTGGCGCTGCCTGTAGCATGGGAGCGGTGTTCCAGTTGCGGTGGCAGTTGGTAGAACGAACCTGCCCATACTCCAAGGTGTAGCTGACAGCGATGGTCTCGCCAGGCAGCTTGCCCTTCTTCCTCAAGGGGATGAACCCGACCCCAAGACGCGCCGCGAGCGACGGGCCTAACAAGAATCCACGAGCCTCCAGCCCTGCATGCACGCAGTCACGTAATGATTGAAAATCGATACTTCGATCGGATTACTACAATAGCGACATATGCACGCGTCAAATCGTGAAGGTGTAAATTGATAATTCAACATGAGATTTTGGCTGTGCAGTCATTGGCAACTGGGCTGAGTACACCAACTCACTAAACTTGAGAACATAGTTGAATAATGGGCGACTGAAACCCGGACTCGAGCTCAGGCTTCTTGGCGGTGCTGGGTTAATGCTTTGACACAGCCATTGAGCCCCCTGAGAGCCACCAGGCCATCTCTCTTCGTGAAAGTGTGTGAATGATGCCACCAGACAACTGTAAAATCCATGATGCTCATTACGAATGTAACTAGTCATTCCTCAGCCACTGTACGAATTGTCACAATAGAGCATCAAGATTCCGTTCAAGAAACATTTATATTTTGCATAACTTCTTACTTATGCATCGGCCTATAAGCAGCATAGCATCACAATAAGCCATGATCTATACTCTACTGGATGAAAGTCTCCCAAAGCTGTTGCTAACTCTCATAATCCTGTGATGCAACAATACATCCAACTTCCTTCACACGAGCAGATGATATTGTTCAGTCTCCATGGTAGATGTTCTCTCTGGAATGCTACTTGAACATTTCATCTGGATATATTTAGCATGAAGCAGAAATGCTTTATTTCTGCTCGCATTAATCGATGTGCGGATTGGGATCGCATTAATCTATCGCAATACACGCGTTGGTTGATGCATCGTCACACAACTAACGCTCACAATAATTCTACATGCACATGGAATGCAAGCAAACAATTACAAACCTTAGTGGGAGGTTTATGGAATAATTACCCCACAATTACAAAAACTGCCATACAGCAGTGGAACCCACATGTGTCAGTTCAGTCTAGAACGATTCGTCTACCTCGTGATTCGATGATTTTCATAAGTTGCATTTGCAAAACCGATTATTTTATAGTTTGGTGAACGTAGCGATTGTTGCATTGTAGGACCATAAGAGATGACAACAGCTTGGGAAGGCCTTCATCCAGCAGTGGACCGATCATTGCTGATGTATGTAGCAATCTCCATCAGCTACAGATGTCACATCAACATAGAAGACATACGAATCTGAAAAGATGCGATCCTTAGTCATCTTGCGATGCATGTACTACTGGCTTTAGGTTCCATTTTAACCGATTAATCAATTCATCGTTACACCCATTGGTGCGCCTCTCTGCCTCGAATGTCTGCGGGCTTAGCGTTGACTACACCTACTGTGAGCGTTGTAAAGGCTTTGCACAAAACTACCACAAATGAGCGACTCAGGATTTAACATGCGTAATGACAAGGTGCCACCTGTTGGCCTGGAAGGGTAATCATGGGTATGGGCAAGGTTATGTAACAACCAATTGGAAGGGGGTCGTATCTGGGGTAAAGGTAAAAGGTAGGGTTAGTCGGGAAGCTCCGGGAACCTGCTCGAAGGTTCTGGAAGGGGGCGTGGCTTGAGGCCACGCCGAGAGGTATATAAGGGGGATGGGAACCGAGGGTTCAGGGTTGTTGCGGGGTCCCGGGTCCTGGCTGCGTCGCTTTCCCGCCGTCATCTCTCTCCGTCGTCCGGCCGCACGAAAGATCCTCTGCACGGCTCCCATCGCCGTCATCGTCACACCAGTCAGCCAACTGTGTGGTTTGGATGTAGGCGATGGGACTATGTAGAGAAGTCGGCTGTACGTAGCTAAAGTAGAGACGTGTGTATATATATTACCCAGTGTTGTGCCCAGTGAGAGGAGATGTATATATGTGTCTATCGGCCTGAGTTATGCCCAGTGTGAGAATAAATAAGAAGTCCTCTACACGACGTGTCTTGGAAGTCACTCATTACGCTTGTATGATAAAACCTTAAACCATTATTCCTGCCCACACAAGTTTGTCACCCATGGGAACAAGTGTTAGCACAAAAAGTGAAAAGCAAACTAATTTGAAAAGGAGGGCTGGAAAATTGCCAAAGGTGAGATGACGCTTTTTCTACCAACACAACCGAGCCTAGCCAGCGCAGGGCCCAGTGACTGTATAGGTGGTTTTCCACTGGCCATTTGCCGTGTTGAGCTGGAACCAAACCATGCTACCATGGCCTCATAACACATTTGAATCTGGCCCAGGGCCAAGCACAACCACAGGCAGGCTTAATAACGCGTTCATTGCGTGTGACGTCGGTACATTGTAAGGATCCCTGGGTTTGATCTTCCACGAAGCTCATGGTTCACCCTAAACCGCATCCACAAAAACCATGGCAGATGTGGATACTTGATGCACAAAGAGAAAATTAAAAAAAAACTCTCCAGTGTGCGACTGTGGTTATCCAGAACAGACCGTACAACAAATAACGACTCAATGCCCCGATCCACAAATACGAAGGAGACATCAAGGCAATACACTCGCTGCTCCTTACGCTGTTATCTGGCTTGACCACCTGAATGTGAAATTGTAGTTGTTGCTCTGCATCTACATCAGCCATACGAAAGACTGAGAAAACAGTGTCGCCGCATCATCTACACATACGTCTCGACTCATCATAGGCATGTGACGTCAGCGGCACGGCTTGGGTACTGCAGTGGAAAAGCAGCCGTGCACCTCCCAAGTCGAGTTGGGCTGGCTCGGCTGGGCCCACCACGGCGCTGTACGATTGTACAGTGGCAGAGTAGCATAAAAGGATATTTACCCGCAATCAGGTCCACGCTGCCCACGTGTTTCTGCAGCTTCTCCTCCAGGAGCTCAATGACGGCATTGAAGGCCTCTGGGTCCTTGAGCAGGGGGCACACATCGCTGCCATGGCAACACAATCACGCGTTAAACAAAATAATCGGCAGTCAAAAGCGTGCACCGTCTACGGAGCTCAGTCAACCCAGCTGCACCTGACATTGGAGCCTGGTTAATAATGTGCTTTTGTACCATTTTACCAACTCGGAAGAAATTTCCGAATACCAAATCGTATTGAATGTGCCTAACGTCAGCTGAGTTTAGCTCAGCAGAGTTGAGAGCCTGTTTGAGAAACTTGGAATTATTAGGTGTAGTTGTAGACTTGGGTCGAGGCAGCCAGGAGATGGCAAGCCAGCAATGGATTATTGCGTCTATCCGTGTGGAGCTTTGAGTGTTACTTAAATGCGTGGTGGCCTTCCTCTGGGTACAGTGGCTCCCTTCCACAATCAAGAAGCACAACTCAACTGCATTGGTGAAACATCCCAAGGTGGGACCCGCCTGAAAAATATATATTTTTTTTTTTACCGGGAAAGAATAAATAAGTTATTAAACACGCTTAACATTACCACATCCCACTTGGACATTGCCTCTAGAAATGCACTCTGCACCAATGCAAAACTCTCGCAACACACACCTGGCTTACTGGCAAATACCGTCTCCCCAAAAAAGAAATTTCCGCAGACAATTATGTCTGTCTCCATGTATATCTCTGTCTCTCCCCATATATATAAAAAACACAAGTATTATTTACACAACCCATCGGTCTACACGACCTTGTGTTCGTTAATTATTTCGGTGGCATTGATTAAATCCAGTACGAACAAAACTCTGGAACGGTGGCCCTCAACATGAATGCAATGCAAATATGCCCACGGCAAAGAATGATCGTGCCAGAGTGAATGCAAATGACTATCGGAAGGCGATGGGTATAGGGAAAACACGAACCCAGGTCCAGACTGAAGTCTTTCTTTCGTACGGCATTTGAAGAAATAAATAAGCGACAGAGTTTACAACTAGTATGTTTTATTTTTCGATTTAAAGCTTTCGTGACTGCAAGGATTCATCTTCTTTGGTTCTGTCGTTAAGGTCACGTAGAATGAGAATAAAATAATAAAATAACACAATAAAATTCTCACGACGTTTCGGCCACAACAAGACGGCCGCTTGCGTTGTAGCCGAAACGTCGCGAGAATTTTATCGTGTTATTTTATTCTCATTCTACGTGACCTTACTGAAAGAACCAAAGAAGATAGTATATTTTAGTTTTGAAAGCCGTTCGATTGGTGTCTCTGGGGTCGTCCAAAGGCTACCTTACTCTCGTGTGTATCGCCGATAACAGCGCGTGCACTGTTTGATGGCAATGACATCGCATTCATTATAAGTCACGAACCGTACCCGTTTAAAAGGACGATCGGGTCACAAAAACACGAGAAATGCCCGACGATACCAACACAGCAATACACGAGAACCAGTGCAGTCATTTCACTCGTCGTCGTCGTCACCACCCCTGAGGAGGTGACATTACTTGACCGGTTCTGATGTCTTGACGTGGCCAACATCGATCAACAGGGCCAATTTTGCCCGGCTCCGATATACGGGGGGGGGGGTGCTTCAAATAAATGTGAACACTTCTAGACTTGAGGTCTTCGTGACTGCAAGGATTATCGTACTCTTTGTTTTTTGTCGGTTAAAGTCACGTAGGTAAAAAATAAATGAAGACAACTAAATTAAACGTCGTGATTTTAATCCGAAACGTCGTGATTTAATTGAGTTGTTTTCATTTATTTTACCTACGTGACTTTACCGAAAAAAAACAAAGAGTACAAAGCGTCCTTCTTCAGGTGGGGGACAACTTAGGGAAAAGCCAAATGTGAACACTTCTGAGAATTAGCAACAACACCACGATAAACGTGTTGCCTCCGGGCTCTGGCGTCTAGACCACCTGGAGAAAATTCCAGGCGTGTGCTGACAATTGATGGCGAACCAAGTGGAGACTTTTTGAAGCTATTAACATACATTTGTTATCATGTTACAGTTGTACTGTGCGTTCTTTTAACACGCTTTTATTTAACTTGTAGCTGTCGTTGTATCCTCAAATCTTGTTCACTCAATTTTTAACCCACTTCCCAATGTGGTATCGACTGCAAAACTCGGTATACTTATGTCATAGTGATGACAATACTATATTTTATCATTAAAAATAAAACATTCTTTTTTTTATATGTTACGTTTCGGCTTGACTTATTAATTGTCCACGCTCAGCTGACGTTGGCTGTAATTGACCACGGGCCCCTTACGTTGTGGAAAGCTTCGGTGCCACTTCCTAGAGTAGTGTAGTTCTTACATTACTAGTACGGTACATTTCATTAAAGCGTGTTTGAAAAAAAAGTTTTTTTTAATGACTTTTCCTATTCTTGGTTCTTTCGGTAAAGTCACGTAGAAGGGAAACAATAAAATAATACAAATATAAAAACAACATTTTATTTTTTTTATCATTACTTCATTGTTTCCCTTCTACGTGCTGACTTTACCGAAAGAACCAAGAATATGAATCCCTGCAGTCACAAAAGCTTTAAGTCAAAATATATAACTTTTCCATTTAAAAACGACAGTCCCGTAATAAGCGTTAACATTTGTTTTGAAGCACTCTGTAGTTGGCCGAGTGCTGCCCTTAATGCGCGGCAGCGTTACCAGACGCCACAACGCAAAGCCTGCGACGGACGATTCATTGATTCAAATCCGATGTGCTGTGAAACATTGGAGGCGAGTGGCTTATCAAATAGTTCACCGTCATTCGCCAAACACCGTCAATACATCGGTCCTCTTCTTTGGTTCTTTCGGTAAAGTCACGTAGAATGAGAATAAAATAATAAATTGATAAAATAAAATAACACAATAATATTCTCACTAAATAAAGAATAAAATAATAAATTGATAAAATAAAATAACACAATAATATTCTCACTAAATATTATTGTTATTTTATTTTATCAATTTATTATTTTATTCTCATTCTACGTGACTTTACCGAAAGAACCAAAGAAGATGAATCCTTACAGTCACGAAAGCTTTAAATCGAAATTTACATCGGTCCTGTTATACATCTCTTATGTCATCGGGCGTTCGTCAATAACGCTGCCTTTAAAATAAAATGGGTGACGTTTCGGGCAGCGGGCCTTCTTCACAGCACATGATTTGACGATCGAACGACACGCTCACATACCTGTCAACCCCGAATCTGTGCCGACCTTATTACAGACCACTTCGAACCTTATCTGGTCACCCCGTGCCCTTATAAATCTCAACGTCCATCCTACAAAGTCCTAATCATCGCACGGGAGAAACACACGCAAACAATGATTTTGTTTTGCCCGTATTGAAACGTCTGTGGACCTGAACTAAATTTCCCTGCACAAGAATAAGGAGTTAAACCGTATGGGATCGACGGCTCTTCGCCCAAGCACCGCTTGCAAGATGTCCTCCGATTAAACGTCAACATTCGATGACGTTGGGCATCGCTATAAATTAACTATCGCGTTGTTGCTGCTTTTCTACTGGACTCCCTGGGATACAGTCGAGCAGCAATCTCGTGGACGACACCTTACCGAAATAAGACGCCGGGCTTGGGGAAGTCCGGGACGAGCCCGATCCTCCTCGCCACCAGCGCCGTCTTCTCGGCAGAGGTCTTGGCCACAGGCATGGCCACAGTGGCCACCCTCGCGCTTCCGCACCGCGTGACGTCACCGCGAGAGTTCCCGCCAAATCTCGACCCGCCCCTCCGCACCCCTCTCCGCCGCGCCCCTCCCCGCCCCTCCCCGCCCCTCCCCGCCCCTCCCCACCCCTCCCCACACCTCCCCTCCCCGCCCCTCCCCGCCCCTCCCCACCCCTCCCCTCCCCGCCCCGCCCCTCCCCCCCTCCTCGCCCCTCCCCGCCCCTCCCCGCCCCTCCGCGCCCCGCCCCTCCACGCCCCTCCTCGCCCCTCCTCGCCCCTCCCCGCCCCTCCCCGCCCCTCCTCGCCCCCCCCTCCGCCCCGCCCCTCCGCGCCCCGCCCCTCCGCACCCGTCCCCACCACCTCCAAATTGTAACAATTATAACCCAACACAAATGAATTGTAACGATGCATGGCAATCATCGTCGCCCCGACTGAAAACTTGGCGGGAAGCTTCCTTGTCGAGAGTCACGAGACTACAAGAGGGAGACTTTCCTGCGTTGGCAGTGGTGCACACGCACATTTATCATCAACAACAACAACAACGCTCACACACATTAGTCAATAATACAGTGGCTGTAAACAAACATAAAAAATAAATAGCGAACCGTTACTGCCTCTCAACACATTCAAGCAGTCAGCGCTGTCGCTGAATTCTAACCGTGAACAGAGGTGACATTGACCCTTCCGCATAGGCCACGTGCTACGAAGAAGGGCCATTGCCCGAAACATCGCCTAATTATATATTTTAAGGCCCGCAGTTTTATTACACGCTTTTATTTAACTCACTCCGTCTGTTGTTGTATCCTCAAATCTTGTAACTTAATTTTAACCCACTTCCCAATGTGGTATCGACTGCAAACTTGGTATACTTATGTCATACTGATGGCAATACCATATTCTTCTTCTTTGGTTCTTTCGGTAAAGTCACGTAGAATGAGAATAAAATAATAAATTGAATATTATTGAATATTATTGTGTTATTTTATTTTATCAATGTATTATTTTATTCTCATTCTACGTGACTTTACCGAAAGAACCAAAGAAGATGAATCATTGCAGTCACGAAAGCTTTAAATCGAAATTGAAATACCATATTCTATCATTAAAAATTAAAAAATATATTTAAACATTATTTTTAAATGTTATCTTTCGGCTTGGGTCTAATTGTCCACGCTCAGCTGACGTTGGCTGTAATTGACCCACGGGCCCCTTACGTTGTGGCGAGCTTCGGGGCCACTTCCTGGAGTCGTGCAGTTCTTACATTACTAGTACGGTACATTTAATTAAAGCGTGGTTTTTAAAAAAAATATATATTACTTATTTAAAGTTTAACCGGCGTGACTTGACCCCCACACCCGAACCCACACCCAACCATGCCAGTTCAGAGGTTTTCCCTCGGACATCCCCCCCCCCTCCCACCAGCGTCCTCGCTTGCCAGCTCAGAGGTTTGTTCCCCTCTGTCTCTCTTCTCTGCCTGTGTCGCACGCTGGAAGGTTCCTTTGCCGGCGCCTTTGCACGACGATGCCGCGAATTGACAACGACGTAAAGCTCGACTTCAAGGATGTCCTCCTGCGGCCCAAGAGAAGCACCCTCAAGAGCAGAAGCGAGGTCAGACCTTGGTGGCGATGATGGCGACGATGATGGTGATGATGGTTGTTGTTGCTGTCTTAGGTTGTATGAACTCCCTCACGAATGACCACCACGCACGCACGGCACGGCACGTGTTCCGGTTAACTCGACCGCTGTGCTAATGACAGCCGGCGTTCGTCATGATTTGGTGATCCTGTAACTTTCTCCTCGGTTGTAGTTCGTGTTTGAGTGTCCATCTCCCCCCCCCTCGCCTGCCGACGACGACGAGCACGGTCAGCGAACGCAAATCGTCTTTTACTTGTGGTGGCTGACAGTCGTGACAGCTTTTGGCCCATTAGAGTTGTGAGGAGGGATCGTCGGGGGAGACGGTGCCTTCGTTTTTGGCAGCGTGGCTCCCCGGAGTCTGTGAGTATCGATACCCCGAGCGTTCTTCACCCGGACGGGTCGTTGATGGTTGCCTTCCTGTTGTTTTTTGGGGGGGGATGGGGGAGAGTCACCGTTGCCGTGAACTTATAGGTGAAGTATGGTCAAACCAGACCCCCCCCCATCCGCCCCGTATGACCGACGCGACGTGCTATGTTAATTGGGCGTTCGGCCGGCAGAGGATGTGTGTGGGAGGTTTGGTTTGGTGCTCAATGTGTTAGGATTGAGCCTCCTGGGCAGTGATTGTATTGTAAAACCAGCATGCCCCATGGCACAGCAGGCTGTTGTTTCAGGCTGCAGCGAGGAAACTTTCTCAGCTGACGGGTAGAAACACAAGAATATCCATTGTTGGCACCCTACTGCAATCAATGCTCGATCACTAACCCAGTAATTCCCATCGTATCTCATGGCCAGCTTGAATCTTAATACGTGTTTATCCACTCTCGCTGTGTATGTGTGTGTTTTGTTTTAAATTGTATTGGTGTTGTAATGAGTTTTGTTTTGGTGGCCTGAAGCACCAATAATAGCAGGGGGGGGGGGGGGGGCAGGCAACCAAGGTGAAAGCGAGCTACTCATTTTCCTTAAGATAAAAAAAACTATCCTATCAGCTTTGTTTATTTTACCAGGTAAGGTAACACTGAGCTTTAAGGCTCTTTTTTCTGAAGCAACCTGGCCGCAAACGATAGCTCAACGAAGTGGCAGATCGCATGGAACATTTAAAGCAGCCACATTCGCAACACGCGCGTTTCTTAAGCTCGTAGAGCAAAAACGTTGGACATCATTCCGGAAAACACTCGGCACAATCATCGGAGCAGTGAACCTACACACAGTGCTAATGGAACAACGCGTTACGTTATTCCGCCCATCAGGTTGATCTGATTCGCGCCTTCACCTTCCGCAACTCCAAGGGCAACTACAGAGGAATCCCCATCATCGCTGCCAACATGGACACCGTGGGAACATTCGAGATGGTCAAGGCCTTAAACAAGGTGATGGTCCCCAATTCGGCGGTGGATGGAAATGTTTGGGTAGTCATGTTGTTGCACTGCAGGCCACTTGGGTGTCGCTATGAATGCGTGATTTTGTAATCTGTGCACTAGTGTAAATGCTAGCTAGTACTGTATAACTACAGACTGCATGTCTTCATATTGCACGCCATTGTCACTGCAGACAGCTGTTTGGGCATTATCAATGGGGTGCACTTTAATTTTAATTGTGTATTTTGAGTTTAGCGGAGGCAGTACATGGCCTAATGTTTTAAGGGAGGCCTAAGTAGATTTATTATTTTATTTTAGTTTTTTTTAACAATGTGAGAACTCAAAATACTAGAATCGTCTGATTTGCAAGAGTGGCCTTGATCGCCAAAATGACAGAAAGCTAAACCAAAGTTTGTTGCGAGTAGAGTTTATATGGATGTATGTACGTGGCTTTCAGCGGTCCGTTTGTAACTTCAGTCTCAGTTGATAAAGACGAAGCAACCATGCGTCAATAAGAAAGCCACCGGGCATGGGGTTGTCATGGTTTAAAATGTCAAGTATTCGGCTCACACCACTCGGATCAGTTCTTCTCGTCAAAATCAGCACCGTTGTCAAAATGTGAGCCTTAAAAGCCCCTTTATACCAGTGCGGGCATGGTAAAATAATTTGTGAATGTACTTTGTCTGCAGCACACCCTCTTCACTGCTGTGCACAAGCACTACTCTTTGGACGACTGGGTGGAATTTGCATCCAAAAACCCCGACTGTTTGGAGGTAACTACAGTTGGGAGATACTCACTGGTGTGATGAAAGCACCAATGTACATTGTTTGATGCTAAAATGTGATCATGTGTACATGTAAAGCCTTTTTGTCAATACTCTGCTGGAGGAGGGCCTCCCCACTTCGTATAGGCTGTGCGAACCAAATTACGCCAATGGTTGAAATCGCGCTTTCTTGGACCTGCCATCATTGTTGAACCGATGTTGGCAAGTCTTGAGTACAGTCCCATCACAATACTCAGTCCCCGCATTTGTGTGTGCATGTTTGCCAACGTACAGAGTGATGGCGCAGCGAGTGCACTGCGCTATGAACCTAGAAACCTCGGTTAGACATACTGCCATGCTTAACATTCCTGGAAAGCATGATCAGAATCGGTCCTGTGCCTCTCTTGACAATGGTGGCCTGGGGTGGTGGTGGCGGTGGTGGCGGTCACGCAACCCTCTCATTCGCTGTTCAGCCCCTAATAAGTGCCCAAGAACAGCACTTGCCTCAACAGTGTGTTTAAAGGCTACACAGTAGATTTGTGTGTGTGTGTGTGTATCTGTCCTTTCCAGCATGTTGCCGTGAGCGCAGGCAGCGGCACCAACGACCTGGCTCGTCTTTCGGCTGTGCTGCAGGCCGTGCCAGGCGTCCGCTACATCTGCCTGGACGTCGCCAATGGCTATTCGGAGCACTTTGTCGAGTTTGTCAAGAGCGTGCGCGAAAAGTTCCCTGATCACACCATCATGGTAAGATGATGCCCAGAGTAATTTTACCACGATTTTCGGAGACCCGTTCTAACGCACTGTAATCATAGCTTTCAAAGTGAAGTCAGGGGTGGGGGGGGGGGGAGATATTGCCACCCCCCCCCCACCCAATTTGTCAGAAAAAAATATACTGTAGCTCCTGCCAATAGATAAACCCACACCACATCGGTTATGGAGATTATTTGTTTCTCCGCAGTTCACACTGGTACTCCAGGATGTCCATTTCCTTCCATCCCTAAAATAAACACACAATGTAACTAGTATTGGACAAACGTCCCAATGCTGAACACGATCTTGCAAATGACTCGCTTGCTATTCCACAAAGCGACGTCGCCCCATTTTGCTGAAACTTAGGAGGACCCTCTTGAAAAAGAGCCATGCGACTCTGCCAGCCTTTCCTTGAAAAAACAAGCACAATAATACAATGTATAATGTTAAACTAAGTAACCCTCATGTCCTTTCCTGTCAGCTACAGCACCTCCATACAGTCGACCATATTTTACTACACATCTATAGTATCACCTGAGTACTGCCCCTCCAACCCTCACCGTCCCCCCCCCCTCCCCCCATTCGTGACGTCATTCAAACCCTCTGACCTTTAAAATGTCCGCGCCACCTGTGGCTGTGGCGTGTAACCTCCTCATTGCGCTGCGCGTGCATTTTTGCGGCAGGAAAAGCACGAATGTGTAATTGCATGCAGTGTTTGGTTACGTAATGTGAACGGCCTTGTGTGTGCACAGAGCAATCTAAATCCTGATGAAGCCCTTTAAAATTGTCTGTTGATGTTCGTCGTTCACAATGACGAGGTCATTGGTAGCATGCTTGCTAGTGCTTGTCTGACTGCATCCTTTCAACTAGGTAGCCAAGCAAGACAAATTTGTGACTCAATTCAGTCTTTCATCATTTGAGATTTACATCTGCTGTGATGTATTATGTAACCTCCATGTGTTCCTGCATGTAGGCGGGCAACGTGGTGACAGGGGAGATGGTGGAGGAGCTACTTTTGGCTGGGGCTGATATCATTAAAGTTGGAATCGGCCCAGGTGGGTATAGATCATCATTTCGCATGTGCGGAGTGGTGAGTCATTTAAACGTATTACGTTAAAAATATAACAGGTAAAGGTGCAGCCCTGCAATTGCTTGCTCATGCCTCTGCTGGTGGAAGAGCCTCCAACGAGAGGGAACACCTCTGGAGGGTATTTGGCCTACTCTTCCACGCTGGCTGGAAGAGGTATTTATACATTCACGATCCCACTGCATGTGACCTACCCATCAACTGACTGTGGTGTTCCAGTTTATAATACTGGATGGATGGCGGCAGGGGGAATTGAAGAAACTTACCCGTTCTGTTGTAATAATGCCAATTATTTACCTCGAAGTGGGCTTGGGCAGGACGCATTACTGCCTTCAGCTGCCCACCACATCGCCCCACAAGCTTTTAACATCTATTTTGCATGGTGGTCACCCATCCAATCACTATATCCAGGCTCCGACTTTCTTAGCTTGCGAGATCTGATGAGACAGGTGCATTCTGCGTGATATTTTCAGAAGGGAATTGCAGACCTGTGTGCGTGTAAATCACGTTCTGTGGCATAGGTGGACACAACAATGTTGCACCTTGCTGAGCAGCACAAGCTGCCGTCTGTGTGTCTGCATGTCAGTGTGTGTGTGTGTTAGTGTGCGTGCGAGTGGGGAGCGGTAGTGTAACGGTTAGCACGCTGCGTTACAATCCTGGCGATCCAAGTTCGATTCCCGCTCACGGCCGACACCAGTGACGATTATCTGAACCGGTCCTGGGCCCCCCCTTGGTCGACTCAGCCTCAAATGAGTACCTGTTCTGGTGTGTAAACATCACCACTGGAGAGACAAATGCGGCCGGGCGCGATGCTGGCCACCCTTCTCCTCGTGTGACGTGCCGGCCTTCATAGGTGCTCGCTACAGCACTTGCCCCAACAATCTGTTAAGGCTATACGGGGGATCTTTATCTTTATGCGTGTGTGGGGAGCGGTAGTGAAGCGGTTAGCGCACTGTGTTACGAACCCGGCGATCCGAGTTTGATTCCCGTTCACGGTCAACACCAGTGACGATTATCTGAACCGGTACTGGCCCTCTCCTAGGTCTACTCAGCCTCAAATTAGTACCTGGTGTGGTGTGTAAACATCACAACTGGAGAGACAAAGGCGGTCCGGCCTTCATAGGTACTCGCTAACAGCACTTGCCCTAACAGTCTGTTAAAGGCTATATGGAGAAATTTTCTCTTTGTGTGTCTCTATGTCTCCCTGTCTGTATGTAACTCTCTGTGCATATGTAAGTCTGTCTTTACTCGTGTGGATTTTGTGTCGGTATGTCTGCCTGTTTTAACACGTCAATCTTTGTACTTGTCTGTCTGCATGGCATGTCTGTGTGTGTGTTTCTCCATCTGTGTGTCTGTATATATGTCCTTTTGTCTGTCTGCCTATCTGTGCGTGTGCGTCTTACCGCTTGTCTGTGTGTCGACACACGTGTGTGTAGGCTCGGTGTGCACGACGCGCACCAAGACCGGTGTGGGATACCCACAGCTGAGCGCCGTGCTGGAGTGTGGGGACGCCGCACATGGACTCGGCGGGCACATCATCTCGGTGAGGACGCTGCCGGACCAGCCAATATTAGGCTATCTGTCAGGGCACGTGCTGTTCACGAGCACCTATTAAGGTCTGCACCGGTTCAAGCGGAGTTGGCATCGCACAGCTGCCCACGCCTTCCCAGTGCTGATGTTTACAAATCACCGCGGCTGGTAATGATGGAACGAGACAACACTGTTTTTCAGAGCATGTACAGCAAACCTCTTGCCCCTTACGGGGGTAACATTCTTGAAAATATCCATAATTGCCAATATCCACAATATCTGTAAACTTAAATGGGAAAACTAGGGTTTGGTTCACGGTTTGTAAAACGACCCCCCCTCCTTTTGTTTTATGTTATCCTACATCATCCAAACATTTAAACAGGAAGTATTTTGAATGTAAAATACGATTAATGTTTTCTAGTGTTAGAAATAACTTGCACGGTAAATGTATAGAATGAAAACAAAATTAATGTAGTGTGCAATACTGTACAGTACTGTACACTGCAGAAAGAAAAATCGTGCGGCTGAACTTTCCTCCCTCACTGGACGCTGAGAACACATGACCTGGCCCCTGTGATAGGCCGCGAGCAATACAGTTACGATGCGTACAGGAATCTCGCGGTCAACCGTGAATGGTCGAGCCACAGGGGCGTGATCGGCGAATTGTGCCTCAATAAGTTTGGCACGAAACCGCAAAACCGCGATAGTTAAATCCTGCGAGAGGGAAGGGTTTGCTCTATAATATTTGCTCACAGTGTGCATGAAGAAGCCAATTAACAATTTCATAAGCATTACTGTACAGAGGTGAAACACTGCTCATGTTGAGATTCTATCACATAGCGTTAATGAAAAAAACATTTTTATTGATTTAAAAAACATGATGTTGCCGAGTTCATGGAGGATGCTCAATTTCCGAACGCTGTTGGATCTCCGCTTAGCTTCCGAGTTCTGATGAGATTGGGCACATTTCGGGTGGAACCGGCGTCATCTGTCACCGTCTTGTGATGTAGCAATCCATCTAGTACCTGCACATTAGCTGATTTCATCGCTCCATCTCTGTAATTTCTGGGCGTGTTCCTCCTCCTCAGGCTACCACTCCGTCGTTAGTATCTACCACCGGCCATTTAGCCCTGCTCGCAATGAGACACGTGCTGTATAACGCTTTGTAAGTCGTTTGTATGTTGTCTTCATATAACAGCTCTCGTACCTACTAGGTGAAACGTGTATTTCTCTATGCGTGTGTATCTCTGGCAGGACGGAGGCTGCACTTGCCCGGGCGACGTAGCTAAGGCATTTGGTAAGGAATCGCAGTTTCTGAATTATTGTTTTACTAAACTATCAAATATCTTTTTTAGTTTACCAGGTAAGGGTCTTTTTTCAGAAGCGACCTGGTCAAAAATGATAGCTCAACGAAGTGGCTTATTGTGTGGAAATGTATAGCAGCCAAACACTCTAAAACACATGTTTCTTAATGTGATGGGAATAACCTGAAGACCCGGAAAAAGTTCTCACCACTGTGGCGAGATATTTGCGTGAATTAAGCGTCCATGTCACATGCAAGCATGAGCAGGCGTTTTTTGCAAAAACGCACGCACTACCACAGGCTTTCGTGTGTTCACACAAGTTATCGGTGACACAGTCACTACGTTTCCAACTATACAGATGAGATGTGTGCGTGTGATATGTGTCTGTGTGGCTTGGGCTTCCACTGGGTCAGCTCAACATAAAATGGGTTCCTGCTATGGAGTGGTCAGCCTCCTTTCTGGCTGTGGCAAATATAGTAGGAATGTAATATTTCCAAACGCTGTTGGATCTCCGACTATACTATCACTACAGTATTCCCTCGGTTAACAGTGACATCGATTAAATGGTTTTCGGTTAACGTTTCGCCTCCCATAGGACCCCCATGGTTTCGACTAACGTAAAAATGTTGATGAACGGTACGTTCACGTTATGCACGTGGGCGCCAAGTTTGGCCAATCCGAGCGCTCGTTAAGTAGGCTGAGCCATGCCCTAAATCAATCAGCAACGCCCATTTATGAGCGTTTAGACCACGACTGGCTATGTTTACATTCTGTTTTGGCAGTGGAAACAGCTCTCTTGCAAACTCATTTTGGTTCACAGTAGTTTTCGTGGAACGGATTAAAAACGTTTAACCGTGTGACTACTGTTTCTTTACTACTATATTTTTTACTATTGTAAGCAAATCAGACTGGATTTATGAGACAAAGTGCTGGGCAGTGATGGCCCACTCCTGTAATCCAGCTAGCCAGGAGAAGGCAGTGCTGCAAGTGGACTAATCCTGTGGATAGTCTCTGGGTGCTCTGGTTTCCTCCCACACTCAGAAATTGGCTGAAAACATCTTAAAATGAAAACACCCTACGACCCAGTGTGGCTCTCCTGGATAAATAAGTACATTTACAAAAGAAAGGAAGGTGTTAAAATGCTTGATGAGTGTATTGAGATTGATGGATGGCATAGAGGATTTGAATTAAAAATGTTCTCCATGATGTCCCTTTATTTGTTCAGTGCAGTATCTATATTTGGATCACCTTGTATATTTTACCAAAAAATATAGCTTCATGGGAACACTTTCAGTCTACTTTCCTTAGTTTTTGTTTTGTTTTATCAACTGCAGAATTATTTTAATAATTAACTATTTTATCCACTTAATCCTCCTACTCAACAAAAATATCGCACTTTCTGGAGAATTATATTTTGTGGGCAATTAAGTGTTACAGGAAACCACTCTAATACATTCGTCAATAAAACTGTCCTCAAAATAAACAAATAGGCTAGGTTTCGGGCAATGGCCATCCTTCATAGCACATGAACAGAGAGATCAGAGAGACATAGTTAATAAGGATTGGAGACTTCATTTAACACCATAGGGCCTGATGAGAATTACATTTTTAAAAAAAATCTGATTACAAGTTTATACATTTGCATATGAATAGTTACCTAATATTATTGAGTATCAGGCAAATCCTCGTATAAGTGTGATCCGAATTGCGAACCTGAGCAACATGCAGCGAACACCCTGCCGCTGGGCCTCAGCACCGGCTCTAATGTTTAAGTTTCGTTAATGAGACAAAAAGACTTAAAAGTTACGATTACTTATATTGTGGCAATCTGTCGACAGCTTTCTTATTACTACTAAAATATGCCAAGAATGTGTCCCGTGCGTGACGTCACTCCACATGAGCCCCCCCGCGTGACGTCACTCCACATGAGGCCCACCCCCCTCATTAATATTCATGAGTGGGTGGATTTTTACACTTAAACGCAGAGGAAGGTCGAGCTGAATTAAATTATTTATGACGCAAAGTCGCTTCAAATATGACGTTTCTTTACAGAAAGTGATGGTAAAAAATAAATCAACGCAGCACAGTGCTACATCTGTGCGTGACGTCACTGCAAAAGAGCCCCCCCCCCTTCATTAAATATTGATGCACGCGTGGAAATTTACACTAACGTACAAGAAGGTCGTGCACTCCACATGCCGCACCCCTCTCATTAATAATCATGAGCGGGTGACGTCACTCCACATGCCGCACCCCTCCACAATAACCATGAGGGGGTGACGTTACTCCACATGCCGCACCCCTTTCCTCATGAATAATCATGAGCGGGTGACGTCACGCCACATGCCGCACGGGTGACGTTACTCCACATGCCGCACCCCTTTCCTCATGAATATTCATGAGCGGGTGACGTCACTCCACATGCCGCACCCCTCCACAATAACCATGAGGGGGTGACGTTATTCCACATGCCGCACCCCTCATTAATAACCATGAGCGGGTGACGTCACTCCACATGCCGCACCCCTCCACAATAACCATTAGCGGGTGACGTCACTCCACATGGGGCAACCCCCCCCCTCATTAATCATGAACTGAACAATTTTTATATTGAATATTTCAGATTACTGCAATATACACCCGTCCTTGGACGGGCAAAAAATGTGTACGTTTTAAGAGGTCAGTACAGGAATGTCACTGGAACGCTAGGACATCACCTGACTTTCATTTTAAAGTATTTTTTTTATTGTTAACAAAGCTTCATGCAATGTCAACACAGCCCGAGACACACCTCACGTGTGAAGGTGGGGAGCTTAGACATGGGCGCATAGTGCAACAATACATTTTTATGCATGGCCCTCTGCTGCCCACCACATATCCCTTGCAGCCTATCGCACCTGTTATGCACATTGGTCGCCCGTCCCAGCACCATCCGGTCTCAACCCTGCTTCGCTGCGATCGGGCACATGGGCACGCGTGAGATGAGAGCTGTTACATTTTTGCATTGCATCTTGTTCTAATGAGGAGGGGCTCGGCGTCACCTTTACGTATGTGCGTGTGGCAGGAGCCGGAGCTGACTTTGTGATGCTGGGAGGAATGTTGGCTGGCCACATCCAGAGCGGTGGGACCCTGACTGAGCGCGATGGCAAGCAGGTGATGATCACCTCTGTCCTGCACCTAACGTCGACCTCTATAGCTACAGCCAGCAGTGGTGGCAGTAGAAATATTTCTGGAGAGCTGGTGTTGTTAGTAGGTGTTGTCAGTGAAGCATTGCACGATTTGACGTTGCCTCTTGGCAGCACAAGACCGGGAAGGGCAGGCAGGGTGGGATAGTATCGTGCCATAGACCACTTTGGCTGCTGATTAGTAATGTGTACTCATTTATAGTCCTGTAATTAATCCACGGCTGGATGAAAGCATCATCATGGCCGTTGTGGGACCATACTTCATCTTACTGATCAGTACAGAGTTGTATATATTGTTTAAAATTGGTTGTAAAAAATATGGATCAAATACTAAAATGATTAAAAGGTGAAAATGTACGTTAAATATTTTTATGTTAATGTAACTAAGTGTGAGTGTAATGAAAAAATGCTGTTAAGTGTAATTAGGAATGTGTGAAAAAAATTATTACTAATGAATGATTAAATTGAATGTGTGTGTATGTGATTGTGTGTGTGATAATGTGTATGTGATTGTGTGTGTGTCATTATTTGGTGACGTCACCGCCACTTAGTGGCGAATGGCGGTTGTTGTTGTTGTGTCATTATGTGTTTGTGATTATGTATGTGTGATTATGTGTGTGTGATTACGTGTGTGTGTGTGATTACGTGTGTGTGATTACGTGTGTGTGTGTGATTACGTGTGTGTGTGTGTGATTACGTGTGTGTGTGTGTGAGATTACGTGTGTGTGTGTGATTACGTGTGTGTGTGATTACGTGTGTGTGTGATTACGTGTGTGTGTGATTACTTGTGTGTGTGATTACGTGTGTGTGATTACGTGTGTGTGATTACGTGTGTGTGATTACGTGTGTGTGATTATGTGTGTGTGATCATTCGTTCTCTCGTTGCTTAGGGGTATGTATTGCCAATCGTGATAATATAAATGATTTTCGCTTTATCATTTACTGATTCTTGCTTTAACAATTACGTGTGTAATTATGTCAGGTCTCAGGATTCAGATCTTACCGCAGGATACAGTTCATCATTACGACAATGATGCATGAGTTAGGAAATAAGCACTCGGAAACCTGTTTTTAATCTAAACTACTTTAATATCAACTTACCCTCACATCCAAAAAACTCTTACAGTGAGGGAAAAAAAGTATTTGATCCCCTTCTGATTTTGTACGTTTGCCCACTGACAAATAAATGATCAGTCTATAATTTTTAATGGTAGGTTTATTTGAACAGTGAGAGACAGAATAACAACAAAAAATCCAGAAAAACGCATGTCAAAAATGTTATAGATTGATTTGCATTTTAATGAGGGAAATAAGTATTTGACCCCTCTGCAAAACCCTTGTTGGCAATCACAGAGGTCAGACGTTTCTTGTAGTTGGCCACCAGGTTTGCACACATCTCAGGAGGGATTTTGTCCCACTCCTCTTTGCAGATCTTCTCCAAGTCATTAAGGTTTCGAGGCTGACGTTTGGCAACTGGAACCTTCAGCTCCCTCCACAGATTTTCTATGGGATTAAGGTCTGGAGACTGGCTAGGCCACTCCAAGACCTTAATGTGCTTCTTCTTGAGCCACCTTTTTTGTTGCCTTGGCCATGTGTTTTGGGTCATTGTCATGCTGGAATACCCATCCACGACCCATTTTTAATGCCCTGGCTGAGGGAAGGAGGTTCTCACCCAAGATTTGATGGTACATGGCCCCGTCCATCGTCCCTTTGATGCGGTGAAGTTGTCCTGTCCCCTTCGCAGAAAAACACCCCCAAAGCATGTTTCCACCTCCATGTTTGACAGTGGGGATGGTGTTCTTGGGGTCATAGGCAGCATTCCTCCTCCTCCAAACATGGCGAGTTGAGTTGATGCCAAAGAGCTCAATTTTGGTCTCATCTGACCACAACACTTTCACCCAGTTGTCCTCTGAATCATTCAGATGTTCATTGGCAAACCTCAGACGGGCATGTATATGTGCTTTCTTGAGCACAGGGAACTTGCAGGTGCTCCAGGATTTCAGTCCTTCACGGCATAGTGTGTTACCAATTGTTTTCTTGGTGACTATGGTCCCAGCTGCCTTGAGATCATTGACCAGATCCTCCCGTGTAGTTCTGGGCTGATTCCTCACCGTTCTCATGATCATTGCAACTCCACGAGGTGAGATCTTGCATGGGCCCCAGGCCAAGGGAGATTGACAGTTCTTTTGTGTTTCTTCCATTTGCGAATAATCGCACCAACTGTTGTCACCTTCTCACCAAGCTGCTTGGCAATGGTCTTGTAGCCCATTCCAGCCTTGTGTAGGTCTACAATCTTGTCCCTGACATCCTTGGAGAGCTCTTTGGTCTTGGCCATGGTGGAGAGTTTGGAATCTGATTGATTTATTGCTTCTGTGGACAGGTGTCTTTTATACAGGTAACAAGCTGAGATTAAGAGTGTGCTCCTAATCTCAGCTCGTTACCTGTATAAAAGACACCTGGGAGCCAGAAATCTTTCTGATTGAGAGGGGGTCAAATACTTATTTCCCTCATTAAAATGCAAATCAATTTATAACATTTTTGACATGCGTTTTTCCGGATTTTTTTGTTGTTATTCTGTCTCTCACTGTTCAAATAAACCTAAAATTTAATTTATAGACTGATCATTTCTTTGTCAGTGGGCAAACGTACAAAATTAGCAGGGGATCAAATACTTTTTTCCCTCACTGTATCAGAAGACCAACAACAGTGCCCATGCAAATATACATACTCATCAATCCATGCTGGATGATCATAAAATCATCAATAGTAAAATCTCATAATCACGTGATTAATACAAAATAATAGGTAACACCTCAAAATGGCAATATTGGTACAGAATGCGTGGTCCTCAAATGCGTATCAAATAGAAAGTATCCATGATCGAATCTCATGATCACGTGATTACAATAAAACAATAGTCTAACATCTCATGGTAACGCGACAATACACTATTCCTTTGTTATGGTGTGTGATGCATGCAAGCTAAGATTCTTCTTGGCCCACAACCTGTGCAAGGTAGAGTTAAAAATAGTGTAAAGTTAATGTTCCTTCTGTCTTCTCTCTTCCCGAACAATTCCTCGAAATCCCACAACGATGTTTTTAGAACGGCGGTTTAGTCCACAGCTGCAGTGCGCTTGTGGCCACGCCGCTCGCTACTCCTTCGCAGTGTTGTCTGTGCATCATGCTCAATCCACAGCTGGACTCAACACTGGTTGATTACGGGGGCCAGACCCCGGACTTTACCGTTGTAGGGATTTGTTCCCTAAGACACATCAGAGCCTGAAGCTCCTCCCACTATCACGCCCCTCGCATTCATCTGGTCAGTCTTAATTAACTTTTTGTTCTGGCTCCGGCGGACATCCTGGTGCCAAGGGTTATCAGCTCGACCATACTTTCCCCCTTCCTCCGGAGGTCATCCCAAGACTAGTGTGGACACAGCTTGTGCTTAATTGCTCCTGGTGTGGCCTTTTTGACTCGTAGAAGCTGACCCCCAGGTGTGGTGTGTGTGTGTCTGTAGCCATGTGTTTATTGTCAAATGGCCTCTATATTATCCATGTGTCATGGGAACGGCCTCCTTTCCTCTCTCTCTCTCTGTCGAGCCTGATTTACCTAATTCGATTCTCCCTCCTTCGGTTGACTCAGCCTGAGTATGAATACCTGTCGCGGTGTGCGATGATAGCCATTGGGAAGACAAAGGCAGTCGGGCATGGCTTTGGTTATACCCCTTGCATACATTATGTTGGTCGTGTAGAATTAACAACCATAATATCTAAAAATACCTATTGTTCTGAATGATTCTTAGCTTCAACGCTTAAGTTTTACATGTTTAACCCAGATTGTACGGCGTAACAGTAATTATTATTAAGGTTACGCGCAATAGTCATTGAAACCTTTTAAACTTGAGCTGCATGAATTTCGTTTTAAAGCTTTCGTGACTGCAGGGATCATATTCTTGGTTCTTTCGGTAAAGTCACATAGAAGGGAAATAATAAAATAACAGTAAAAATAAAACAATAAAATTCTCACGACGTTTCGATTGCAACACAAGCAATCATTATCAGGTGTGAAAACCACAGCAAGAAAATGTTCTTGCTGTGGTTTTCACAAATAATAAAAATATAAAACAATAAAATTCTCACGACGTTTTGACTGCAACACAAGCAATCATCATCAGGTGTGAAAACCACAGCAAGAAAATTTTCCTGCTGTGGTTTTTACAAATAATAAAAATATAAAACAATAAAATTATCACGACGTTTCGATTGCAACACAAGCAATCATCATCAGGTGTGAAAACCACTTGAGCTGCATGGTTATATAACTACATCCTATCAGCAAGTGAATGTTTAATACCATGATATTTGAAAATATTCCTATGCTGTGGTGGTCAATCCAAACTTCACAACTTTTCAAGCCAAGGCTTGTGGATAATTGACCCTTATGGCGGTACCCCGGGGTACCAAATAATACAAAATGCCCGAGGCAATTAAATATTTTATTTCTGGGACACTATTTTTTTCCAGGGGTTGTACTTTACTTCGCGACTGGGGTACCGATCAATCTGAAATCAGTGCCACACTCCACGATGTCGAAACGTCAAACATTAGCATAAAAAATCCATTCTCAAAAAATTAAACTTTGAATAGCGCATCGTGAGTACAGCTCGTCGAGATGAGTCGATTGCCGCATCGCCGACCATCAGCAAGACTAAAAATTACTGCATCACGGACATGCGAGAGCCGGTGTACTATGGTACCCCGCGGTACCGCCATAAGGTTCAATTAACCGCCCAAATGCTGAGTCTCCTTTGTGTGAGGGACAGCTGAAGAAGCAGGGGCACCTCCTTTTGCCTTTGTAGTTTTAAGGGAGGAGTATCACAGGCTTCCATCAATGCGTATTTTTAGAACGTGCTAAAATCAGATATATGTAAAAAATATACTATAACAAAAATAGGCAATATCACTCTTAATATTATTCTTTGGGAAAATTAACAGTCTTTAGAGTGAACACGGTCCGTGGCTCGGGTGGCTGAGGGCCTTAATAGTCTTGCTCGCCTTCCTACGGCATCGAGTGGTGTAAATGTACTGTAAATGTACACAAGCGGTCGTCTTTTCCTCAAGACGACTGCTTGTGTTGCGATCGAAACGTCGTAGTTTTTTGTTATTTTGTATTATTTTCTTTGAACCTATCTACGTGACTTTACCGAAAGGCCCAAGAATATGAATTCCTGGTTATCACGAAAACTTTAAGTCAAGATTTAATGGTGGACCTCTTGAAGCATGTGGAGACAATAGACTGGGATAGGGAGAGATTGAATATGTCCGTAAACACTCCAGCCAGCTGATCTACGGATGCTCTGAGAACGCGGCTCGGGATGCCATCCGGCCCGGCAGGCACAGAGATTGAGAGCCCACAATACTTTTGAGCAGCAGGGGCCCGCGTCGGTGGGTCGGTGTTGTTTTTCTCGAAGCGAACAAAAAAGGTGTTTAGCTTGTCTTGGAGTGAGACGTCAGTGTCCTTAACGCAGCTGGTTTTCCCTTTGTAATCGGTGATTGTCTGGAGTCCTTGCCACATGCGTCTCGTGTCTGAGTCGTTGAGTTGTGACTCCACTTTGTCCCTGTACTGTCTTTTTGCTTATTTGATTACCTTTCGGAGGTCGTAGCTGGCCTGTTTGTATTCGTCCATGTTCCCGGTTGTCCGACCGTGGTTAAATACGGTGGTTTGCACTTTCAGTTTTGCGCGGATACTGTCATCCACGATTTTTGGTTGAAATATGTACAAATCATCACCATTGGAACAACATCGGCTATGCACTTCTTGATGAACACGGTGACTGAGTCTGTGCACTCGTCGATGTTATTCCCGGAGGCTACCCAGAACATTTCCCAGTCCACAGAAGCAAAACAGTCCTGAAGCACAGATTCCCATTGGTTAGACCAGCATTTAACAGTTTTAGTCACAGGCAATTCCTGTTTCAGCTTCTGCCTATAGATGGGTAGGAGCAGGATGGAGGCGTGATCTGATTTGCCCAACGGTGGGCGGGGGAGGACTTTGTATCCATCCCGGAAGGGAGAATAGCAGTGGTCCATAGTCTCGTCTAAGTGTGTGTGGCATTTGATGTGCTGGTGAAATTTCGTGTTAAAATCCCCAGCCACAATGAACGCGGCTTCTGGGTGTGCGGCTTCCAGTTTTTTTTTATTACCGTATAAATCCTTGAGAGCTTGAGTGGCGTCGGCCTGTGGGGGTATGTATACATTCGTGAGGATAACAGAAGATAATGGGGTCGGCATTTTACCGTCAGGTACTCCAGGTCGGGTGAACAGAATGACGATCGCTTCTCTACATTGCTGTGGTAACACCAATGGTTGTTAATAATGAAGCATACCACTCCTTTGCTTTTCCCCGACGCCTTTGTCCTGTCCCCCCATTCGATGGAAAATCCATTGGGATGAATCGCTAGGTCCAGCACCAGTGGGGAGAGTCATGTTTCAGTCAAACAAACGACATTGCAGTCTTTCACATCTCGTTTGTAGGAGATTATCGATCTAAGCTCGTCCAGCTTATTGACAAGGAACTGAACATAGGCTAGCAAGGTACTGGGAAACGAGGGGCGATTGGCCCGTATTCTCAGCCTCACTAGAGCGCATCGCCTCTCCTGCCCTGTCTGTGCCGGCGTCTCCTGGAGATGAACACTGGGTAAGATAAACGGAGCTGCTTCAGGGGGTCCGAACAAAGGCTCCAGGTCAGGAAATTTGAAATCAAGGTGGGTAACCGATGATGTAATGACCAACAGTGCTTGGCGGTCATAATAAATAATAGCAAAGACGTTCTGAGTACAAAAAAAATAAAAAGTAAGAAAAAACAACAAAAAACTGCAAGGTTGTGTAGGAGCAGGCAATGAGGCTACCTTCTCTGTCGGGCTATTTTGAAGCTGTATTCCGCAAATGAGTTTTGATATGTGTGGCTTGCTGTCCATTGTGTTTGGTGCCAGGTGAAAACATTTTATGGCATGAGCTCAGGGACCGCAATGGAGAAGTACGCTGGAGGAGTGGCTGAGTACAGGTAAGGATATGCAAATGATGCTTGTCTGAAGAATCCTTCGTTTTCACGAACACAGGAAACCAAACTCTGCCTGTCCGGTTCTGTCCCAGAAACAGCACCACGGAACCGGGATCCATGTTCCCAAGTGCCACAAGATAATTAGGCCCTTTTTATGGGCTGGGCCTTTGACTCCCAATATTTATTGTGATTAGCGCATGGAAACCCTGTAGCCCCTATTTAAAAAATATTCAGTGTCTGAAATAAATCGTGATGAATGAATCGTGGCAGGGTTCAATGGAGAGGTGTCTTGAAGAATAAAACATAACCTGCAACATCTCATTGTCCACAAAGTTGACTTATTAAGAGTATGTGGATTGAAAAGGCTTTTTGCCTTTTGTGCAGAGATGACACAATAAAAACTACAAGTGTATTATGGAGTGTTCTGTTAATGTTTACATTGATTATATTTAAAATGTATTTTGTGGGTTATCGCTCTTTTAAGCATACAACTGCATTTTTTACAATATCACTACTAAATAGAAATAAGCCTTCAGCAGGATATTAATGGATACGTGCATCTGGAAACCAATGTTCAAATGCAGTTGAGTTTGTGTTCATGTCTTCACGATTGGTATCAAACTTAGGAGCTTTGTGTTTGTGTATGCAGGTGAGAGAGTGGGGCCCTTAACACAGGTCGATGAGCCTGTGTGTGTATATGTTACAGATGCATGGGTTTGCATATCAATAATGATGTGTGGGCGGCTGAGTAACCAGTGGAGAGGCACAGCAGGGGTAAGGGCATTTATCTTGCCTGCAAAAATTAACGCCCCAGTTGATGCTTTGCATCTGATGGATTCCAAACCCTGCCTCGGTCAAGACTATGACATGGTCAACAGCGCGAAAACAACCACCTGACCCCCACACCGCATGGCATGCTGCCACTCGTTAACTAATCAGACTTGATGCTCAGGTTATACAGAAAGTCTGCACACCGGTCCGTGTGTTGCGCATGGGGAAGAAAAATGTCGACCGGTCGTGGTGCTGCACCTCTCCCTCATGTGCCATATCGACCTTAATAGGTGCTCGCCGGCAGCAGTGGACCACCATGATTCCATAACGCTACGCATGGGTCGTCGTCGTCACCGTCTTTGTCCCCGTGTGCGCGGGCAGGGCATCGGAGGGCAAGTCGGTGGAGGTCCCGTACCGCGGTGACGTGTCAGACACAGTGCGCGACATCCTGGGCGGCGTGCGCTCCACGTGCACCTATGTGGGCGCCGCTAAGCTCAAGGAGCTGAGCCGCCGCACCACCTTCATCCGCGTGACGCAGCAGATCAACGCCGTGTTCAGCAACAACTAGCCGGCACGCACCCGCTGGAGCGTTCGCCACGCGATGGTCTCAACGCGGCGCCGTCAATGGCCGTGCCCCGCCGATGTCTCTGTGCTAGGGGAGGGGAAGATGGCTGCTTCATTTTATAGGGCCTGTAACTTAATTTTATCCAGCCCCGTATGAGGCCCATCACATTGCGCATACCTGTCAACTCGTACGGTTTACCCGTATTCTTGTACAGCGAAATTGAGTTTCCAGGTCCATCACAGGAACAAAAAATATTCTGTCTATTTGTGTTTCTCCCTTGTGATGGGACTTTTTAGTATGAACGTTGAGATTTATAAGGGTACAGCGTGACCAATAAAGTCGGAATTGGTCTGTAATAAGGTAGGCACTGATGAGGGGTTGACAGGTATGACATTGAAACAGCATACTTAAGATATTAATTTATCACCACAAGCATCGTAGCCACACTAGTTCTGGAGTGGTACATTTTCCAACTGGCATCGCTGTGATTATAATTTTTCGTGCGCCCAGTCACTTCCATCACAGCGAGGGTGTGTGTTGCATTAGAGGAAGTGAACGAGGAGTATGTTGACTTGCATGGCCTTGCCAAAGGTATTTAAAAGTAACAATTCGGCTCTATGTAATAAAGAGTACCCCCACCCCTGCACGATAATAGTACAGAAAGACATTCCAAGTGCTTTAAATGATCGTAGAAACTGAATTATTCCTCGGCATACAACGATTCATTAACTTAGATCGTCATGACCATAACGCTTGTACGAATTGATTGTTTTATTTATACTATTTTTTTTCTTTCGGCTAAGGTTTGGGGCACAAGGCGGCTACAAAATTAGACATTACAATGAGGAATGACGGGATGGAACGGGTAAAGAGGACAAAAGTAATTGAGTCTCCGGATTCAAATCATGACCCAGTTCCTTCATTCGCAGAAGGAGGGGAGTGAATCGTTACACACAATCATTTTAAATTATGTGTTGATACTGCCTACGTTATTGATGAATGCATTGAGTTTTTGTTGTTGCAGTTATTCCAGCCCGCTTTACACCCGTTTGACCCAACCTCGGCCGCTTGACTCGCTTTCCTTTCCCATCCCAAAGCCAAGCGGTCAACCTCGCGAAGTTTCACCTCGCTGGGCCACTGGCAAAGGTGTTTGAGCTCCACTCTGTGGTGCTGCGTGAGCATTTGAGAATCACCACAAGGTTAAATTGATTGAGTTGGCTTTCGTCGGAGTAACTGGGCAGGAGAATTGTCCCTTTTGTCGCAGGCACAGGTGAATTTAGACCCCAGACAGACACAAAATGAGGTAATGACCATATTTGTGATTAACGAGAAAGTTCATGATTGTATCGCGTGTCATTTTAACAGTTATTCCTTCGGCTCTGCACATTTCGTCTTCACAGTGAACATTTCAGCTTTCGGGGGTTTTTAATGTGTTAAACCAGCGGTCCCCAACCTTTTTGGCACCAGGGACCAGTTTCGTGAAAGACAAATTTTTCGTGGAAGACAATTTTTTTTCACGGACCGGGGTGGGGGGGGGGTTCATAATTGGGTCTTTCCCCCCTTTTAAAAGAAGCTCTCCAGCGACGTTTGTTTTTTACTCATTTTGGCTACTGGGGTTAGAGTTTGTGGGCTTACCAACACTGTGACTGAGACAAGTGCGCAGTGTGGGAAAGGCGCGGACGGAAGTGGTAAATAATAAAATAATTGGCGGGCCACGCGCGGACTCACCGCTGTCACCTCCTGCTGTGCGGCCCGGTTCCTAACAGGCCGCGGGTTGGGGACCCCTGTGTTATACATTCCGGATCTCATCCGAACTACGTTTTAATATTACCAGGCTGGAAAAAAGATATATAGAACAAAAGTTTTGGACATTAACGAAGGATTATGAATTGACGTAGCCACTTATTTTAATACAACGATTTACTTAATAAGAATAATACTTGGCATTTAACAAATTAATATAGTGACAAAATGTGCACAATAAACATTCCACATGCCCACTTGTATCGACCTAATGTGAGAATGGGAATAACACGGAGAGTGTTTATTATTCTTGGTTCTTTTGGTAAAGTCACGTAAAAGGGAAACAATAAAATAATAAAAATATAAAACAATAAAATTCTCACGACGTTTCGACCGCAACACAAGCAATCATCATCAGGTGTGAAAACCACAGCAAGAAAATTTGTTTCCCTTCTACGTGACTTTACCGAAAGAACCAAGAATATGAATCCCTGCAGTCATGAAAGCTTTAAATCTAAATTTAACACGGAGGGTGTTTATTATGGAACAGCACGGCCCTATGGCTGATCCAATTTATTTATGTTTGCAGTACCAGTTTTACAATAAGTTCCCATGAGAACCCACTCGCAAGGCTTTCACCAATCCCACGTCCCAGGTCTGGACTGGCCGACCAGATAGCCAGGCATTTTGTCAGTTGAACTAAACCTGGAGTTAACCGTCACCCAGCCGGATGTAAATCACTTGCTGGATGATGGAAGTTGATGTTCAAAAGTTGGACCAAGATTGTGTAATGCAAGCCCCACGAGCGCTTGCTGAATATTCGTCCCGTTGCTTGGCAGTCGAGTTCTGCTGCACATGTTACAAAGTTCGCAACCAAACCACCTGGCTCAAGAACAGGCATTTGCATTGCCCTCCCAATCGTCACAGGGCGCAGCTTAAGCCAAGGTGGCTTCTGATATGTTGCACGTTGGGCCATGGCAAAAAAAACACTATCATCTGTAACGTGTGTCATGGCAAAACTTTAGGGTTATCGATTGATTGAAAAGGTTAGTCCATGTTTACCGGCTCTATAAATACATCTGTACCATTAAAGTTTCGTCGCTACAGGTGGTACCTAAAGTCAAATTATCTGGTCTGTGTTCACACAGCTGGATACGTGCGTGGGAAGGCGGTGGAGGGATTTGCTGGCCGAACGGACAATGTTTTCGCTGTCACGGAGTTAAGATGTGCTCAGACGAGAGTGCTAGGTAGCACTCATCTCCGCTGGGAGCCCTGCAGCAGAGCCATTGGTGGCAACTCCACTTTCTTCAAGAGGGGAACGGGGTTTTTTTTCCACGCGCGCAAAATAAAATCTGCCTCCGCAAATCAAGTTGCCATCGAAGCGCTACTCTTAACCATGACCGGCGCCACTGGATCTAACCACTGGACCCAACCACTGTATCTAACCCATATCTTAAAGAGAGAGTCCGTGTCTTTAAGATCTTAAAGAGAGAGTCCGTGTCTTTAAGATCTTGCAGTTAACCAGCATTGACTCGAGCAAGCCTGGCTGCTGGGATACTGTATTTCAAAACCGGTGTAGAGTTTGCTTCTTTCTGAATTGTGAACTCCCACGGGGACTTTTAGCCGATGCGTTGTCAGAAATACTTTTGTTTTTTTGGAGAGACATAAAAAGGAGGCATCCGCTTTATCAATTGTGTGATATATATATAAGTTCCTCGTGCTGCCATAATTCACCCCGGGGGTCTCCACGCAGTGAAGAGGTCAAGGTTGCACTCATGCGTTGTGTTTTCATTCTTTAACCATCATCGCTGCTGCGTGTCCTCTGCTCGATCGCCGACCGCGATGCTCATCAACACGTGATGGTGGTTCTTCGTTAGCCGTACCCGGCGAGCTACCACCGCGGCTGAGCGCGAATTTGTTTTCCCATGACGCCGATTAAGTCGCGGACAAAGGAGCCGCTTCTTAGGCGCCGGTGTCGGCAGCGCCGGCGGCACGTCAGCTGATTTCGGCGATGTGAGCGAGATCGCGACGAGAGATCAAAATAGCCGTGTTCTTATGGAGACGCGATGCGGGGGTTGCATTCCAAGTGTTAGCTGCGCTCGTTGTTCTCCCATTGACAATATGCTTTTTTATAAAAGGGAGGAATTTAGCCCATTTGGATGTCATGGACCTCATTTACACTTTTTAAACATAACACGGCTGAGCGCGCCGTGTTATACAATTGCGCTGCTATTGATGGTGTAGCAGTTGTGGAGCAATCGCGCAGCGCAGTTAGCGCGCTGCGCTACTTTCCCGGCGACTCGAATTCGATTCCCGCTCATGGCCAACAGCAGTGACGAATATCTGAACCGGTCCTGGGCCTCCCCTACGTCGACACGGCCTCAGTTGGGTCCCCGGTGTAGTGTGTCAACATCGACACTGGGGAGACGAAGGCAATCGGTCGTGGTGCTCGCCGTCCACCCCCTCGTGCCGTTCCGGCCTTCACTAGGTGTTCGTTGAAAGCACTTGCCCCAACAGTCTGTTAAGGCTATACAGGGGATCTTTGCCTTTTGATCTGTGATATAGTTTCGCGTTCGCTGTGTTCGTGTTTTTCGAGCGCGTGCGGATGGTGTCGAGCGAGAGAAACCAGGCCGACGCAATTGTTCAGAGACGTGCGGTGTAATTAATAGTCATAAATCGAATCGATTTCGTATTGTTTTGTTCACGAGACAGGAGGGGGGAGTTAGCGACATTAGGGATGTTAGGATGGGTTGAACTTCGACTCTGGTGGCACATGCGACGATGATTGTGACTGATTCCGGTAATAATGATATCTGTTGCTAATGATCATGGTTGAGGATGATGAACGAAGGTGAAATCATTGCTGATACTGCTGATGATGCCACTGCTGATGCTGCAGATGACCTGGTGATGGGTAGAGCTCCAGTTAAAGTACAGAGAAAGATCCAACCCCATTGGACAAATCAACAACTGGCCATGAGAACGAGGCACATTGGAGGGCTTCATCTGTCTCACCAGCCTCACCTGGCAGCCAGGAAGAACCGAGCAGTTCGTGCATTGTGCTATGAATTGGCAACCTTAGTTCATAATAAACAATGGAAGCATGAAGACTGCAAAAAAATCAAGTTGATTGGTAAAATCACAAAGCGTAACCGTCATAAAACTCGGGGAGAAAACATTAAAGACCTTGCAAAACGACGTGCATGCAATGAATTATTCCACTGGAACACATTCTCGTTTTAAGTCGGGGGGAAGGTTCCATATGCCACACTTGGAGGGGTTTCCTGGTCCCTTTGCAGTACGACAAAGGTAAAGCACCAGACACCCGTGGACCTCATCGCAGAATAAGGATCAACATCAGGCGTGCAGTTTATTCGTGTTTACACAGGAATTAAATACCTCAAATGTGGAACGATGTATGCGTCAATCATTCTATAAAAAGAGAGGGGGGGCGGTATCCCATTGGCCTCCTGATGGGCCGTGGGCGAGAATAACAATGGAGTGGTTGCCAAAGGAGGGAACGCACCGTGAGGAGGGCACGTCCACTGTGGATATGGAGCTCGTTGCAGGTTCTAAGGGCAGAGGTCGGGAACCAGCGACTCTTTAACGACTGATTTGGTGACGTTATTCACATCGCATTGAGGCACTTGAAATTTAGCAGGTTTCTTTTTTTTACAGAATTCGTTAAAAAAGGCCCATCGTGTTATTTCGGTTGCTGATAACGGAGTGACGGCTGAAGGATATTTATGTAGAACTTATTTGGCACTGCACGAAGCCAATCGCGCTAATCGGCGTGCGAGGTGCTAGGCAGCTCGGCGCATCCACTGCAGAGATAGAGTCGTGAGATTAGCTCATTGTGCAGGAATGAGATTGTGTAATCCACCCAGCTGTGTATAGAGCATGGCTGTTGATGTTACATTTAATGTATAGGATCCTGGAGTTAACACAAATGTACAAACGAGGTAGAAAAAAAAGCGATAAATAACACAAGACGATAACGAGATTGAAATAATATGGATTCTTAAATAGCCAGCGTAAGTGCTCATTAATACATACAATTAATAAATTTCAGCAATCTCCAATGTAGACTTTAACAAACCGTTGGATAAAGTTGCGAAACATTGTAACCACATGACAATCGATACACACGTAGCCTATATAACCAGGCGATAACCGATTGAGAGAAAAAGCGGTCTCATGAAGGGAGACCCACACAGGATACACAAGCTCGCTTTCAAGATCTGGTAGGGTGGAGCGGAGCACTGGTGTTGATTCATCATCATCCAACCATCATACGATCATAACTATCGTGTGATCATCAACAATTGCATACGGCGACAGTGTTTATAATTGGAAGTTATTACAATTATCCTAATTGGTGCTGGCTATGGAGCCGTGGGTTGGTGGATCGCACACAGTTTGTGAAACTCCCTTCCCCTGGGTGACGAGGTGTCATACCCTGGCTCGCCAGAAGAAGGCAGATGAAAAAGTGGACTAATAGCCATCTGTTTCCATCTGCACCGGGATGGAGTGTTGCCCCCTAATGCACGTGGGTTTTCTCCAGGTATTCCGGTTTCCTTCCACTTGTATAATAAACAACTCATCATTAATTGTCTAAACACATAACAAAAATTTAACAAACCCAATGGAGGACGCTCCTGAAAAAGAGTAATATGACCCAGTGTGGATTTCCTGGATAAATGTTATAAAGAACCGTCATGTGATCGGCAAAACTCATATGATTATAACCATCATCATATGATCATCATTTCATCATCAGCCTGTGACTTGACGTTCCAATTATCAATACAATCAGGTGCACGTGGCACCAGAGACTGGAAACCCCTAGGTGGAGTTTGTAGCCTCCTCAACCTGGAACCACAAGCTGCCAATTGCAGCACCCACCCAATTTAGCCAGGCTTAGTGGTGAGCGTCTCCGATCCTGTGCTTTGGAAGTAAGGGTAGAAGTCATGCAGAGATTTGTGGAACTCCCAAACCCGCTGGGCAGCGAGGTAGTGGCCCGTAGATGACAGGAGTGATTTTGAGAGATGCTACCCACGAGTATTCACTGTAGGTTTTCTCCGGATTCCTTTCACATTAAAATTGACCAAACATGCCAAAGTAGCATGACCCTCCTGAAAAAAGTATTGAGATTCACTGAGGCTTTCTTGGATTAATTTTATTACGAACACGCATTGTCAGCGTGTCTGTCCTTCCTCCAATGCCCATCACGCACACTTCAAAATGCAGGCAGGCTCAACACTTCCATTACAACCCAGGTCCTCCATTACACATTGAAGTAACAATGTTGAGTGACGGTCATAACGGCCAGCGGAACGCAGCTAAAGCTAGGGCGGGGGCAAAAACATTAAAGAAATTAGTGTAGTAAGCGATTTATGTCTGATTAATGTACAATGAGTCGGATACATGCTAATTTTATACTCTTTGTTTTTTTTCGGTAAAGTTACGTGACCTTACCGAAAAAACCAAGGAGTATGAATCCTTGCAGTCACGAAAACTTCAAATCTATGTTAATTTTGCATAAGCGTATATTTAAATGTTAATTGACGTCATCATTTTTTGCGATATGTAATGCGTACTTAAGAGATCCCTCCCTCATGTTAGCCTTAGGCCCCCTCATAGCGTCAACCCGGCCCTGTCTATATGTATAAGGTACAGACAAGTCTTTCAAGAGTACCAGTTTATACATATTCTTTGGGTCTTTCGGTAAAACCACGTAGGTAGAAAAATAATAAAAATATCACGACGTTTCGATCGCAACACCAGCAATGGTCATAAGGTGAAAACACAGCGGGAGAGCTTCCGAGGCAGGAAAAAAAACCATGAGTTTATAGTACCCTTTGAAACTATTTGAGATGAAGACGTTCGCACCGACACCCCGGTCCATGCTATTCCATGGAGAACAAAAAAGGTTCCGCCGGTGACCCGATCCAGACCGTCGACCCGGGGGACCCCTCGAGAAATTCGGGACCCGATCTGTCGCTCGCTCACAGCGGGGAGGCCCTGGCCGGAGAGCGGCGTTCTTCATCACAAGGCCCGCGAGTCACCGGCGACCCCTGGGGTGGCCGCCTTGAGTGCGGCGCGTGACGTGCGACTCCCGACAATAGACAACGCGTGGACGCAACCACCCCCCACCCCCACCCCACCCTCCACCCCCATCACATCATGGAACTCAACAGTGGTGTTTTCAAATGTGTGGCGGAATCTCACACTGATGCTGTCGTATCGGCGGAAGTGACCCCGCTTGTGAAAATGAGTGAAGTAACATTGGCGTTGACCATGATGCATGGAATGGCCATGGAGTCTCCCTCTCCCCAAGCTGCTGTCAAACTTCTCTCTTCACAGCCTGCGCCTGGACCCCTCCAGCACAGCCGACACCGCCGCGAGCCTCGGAATCTCCCCACTTATTTTACCCACTCGCCCGATCCCCCCTCCGACGAACTCTCCGCTCTTCGAATCGCCACGCAAATGGATTTTACTCTTTTTGGGATTGGCCTCCCGGATCGAGGGGAAAAGGGCGTCTGTAATAGCAATCGACTCGATCGATGAAGGAACGTTAAATAACCCAGCGTGTCACCGGATCCATCCTGGATGCCTCCTCCTGCAGATCCCTCCCGGTTCATTGGACGCGTCTGTCTCATTCCGTGAAGGCTATTGGACGCATCTGTGTTATATAACGGGGCTGATGAGCTCCGAGTGCTTTGGGCCGGAGGGAGCGACGTGACACCCGTGTTATGCGGGGACTCGTGTGGGCTCTCCTACTTCCTCCAACCCTCCCGCATTCCCCTCGCCACCTCTGTCCGTCTCTCCGAATCCTCGCTCCGTCGCTGGGTGGGGATTCAGGGACGCCAGCGAGAGGCTTCTTCAAGACCTGTGAACTCACCACCACCACCAACGAGAAAAGCAACCCACACAACAACAATCAACAACAACATTCTCAAGTTCCAGCGTAGAACAAGCCTCCAACCCTCATAACCGCGAGCAACAACTACCACAACACCAACTATCACCTTCTATTCTGTGGGTCTTCGTTAAAGCCACGTAGATCATCGTCAACAACAGCATTCTTCATTTCTATCCTCGAACAAGCCTCCATCAAACCACCACCACCATAACAAATACCTCATTCACACCACCACCATCACCAACAACAACCAAACAACGACCACACAATTCTGCAATTCCCAGCGTGGAGAAGGCGTCCACCCACCCACCGCACCACCACCACAATCACTACCAACAACCAAACAACGACCACACAATTCTGCAATTCCCAGCGTGGAGAAGGCGTCCACCCACCCACCCACCGCACCACCATGAATCTCTCGGAGGCGCTCTTCCCGAACCCGTTTGTCGGGTCCCCGGGTCCAGACGGCAACGGGACCGCGGTGGCCTCCGCGAACCGCACCCGCTTCAGCCCGTGCCACAACTTCTCCATCCCCAACGAGGTGTTCCTCACGCTCGGCATCGTGAGCCTCGTCGAGAACGCGCTCGTCATCGCAGCCATCGCGCGCAACCGCAACATGCACTCGCCCATGTACTGCTTCATCTGCAGCCTGGCCGTGGCCGACCTCCTCGTGTGCCTCTCCAACGCGTGGGAGACAATCGCCATTGCGCTCGTGCACGGCCGCCACGTGCACATCCCCGCGCCCATCCTGCAGCACGTGGACAACGTCTTCGACTCGTTCATCTGCATCTCGGTGGTGGCCTCCATGTGCAACCTGCTCGCCATCGCCGTCGACCGCTACGTGACCATCTTCTACGCGCTGCAGTACCACTCGATCGTGACCATGCGCCGCGCCGCGGTGGTAATCGCGTGCGTGTGGGCGGCGTGCGTCGTGAGCGGCACGCTCTTCATCACCTACTGGGACCACAGGGCGGTCATCGTGTGTCTCATCGCGCTCTTCGTCACCATGCTCGTGCTCATGGCGTCGCTCTACGCTCACATGTTCGCGCTGGCGCGCTCGCACGCCCGGCGCATCTCAGCCCAGCCGCGGAGCTCCCGGCAAGGCCAACAGCACGGCGCCGCCAGCCTCAAAGGCGCCGTGACGCTCAGCATCCTGCTCGGAGTGTTCGTCTTCTGCTGGGCGCCCTTCTTCCTGCACCTCACCTTCATCATCAGCTGTCCCGCCAACCCCTACTGCTGCGCGTACATCGCCTACTTCCCGCTCTACCTGCTGCTCATCATGATCAACTCCGTCATCGACCCGCTCATCTACGCCTTCCGAAGTCCCGAGTTGAGAGTCATCATCCGCGACACGCTGCGCAAATGCGGCCGTGGCCGCGGCGCCAATGGCACCAGGAGCTCCAGCTGCTGCGTCCAGGTCCGCTGATGGCGCGACCCGGGCGCGAACCCCACATTCTGGTCCCCCTACGGGATGTAAGCTGAGTGGACTTACCCTGGGCATGGCAGTGGTGTTGGCGGCGGCGACGGCGCGACCTCCGCGAGCCAGCGCCGTGGAGCCAAGGGGTTGGTGGATCACATGTAGAGATTTGGGCTCCGAGGTGGACGGCAGATGGCAGTACAGCATGTGTGGTTCGTGAACCCGTTTGTGCGGACCTTTGGGTGTTAGACCCTCACATGCGAGGTGGGGTTTCTTGGGGTGCTCCGGTTTATTCCTACGTGAAGCAAACTCACACCTTTATTTACAAATTGGTCAAAAATCTCAATGTAGCAGGGCCCTCTTTCAAGCATACTGAGCATCGGCGAGGCTTTCTTCGATAAATGTCGTAGTTATTGTGCGTAGAACCGGCTCATGCACGTGGAAACAGATCGGGGCTGGGAGGCAATTCCGATCTCCTTCCCTATCCCTTCAAGTTTGGGACACGAGATCAAAGAAGATCGTCATTCCTCAATCATGGGCCTCCGTTGCTAATGGCCCCAACCACTTTCGAGTTCCACGCGCCTGGTCCAGTCATCGCCATCCTCTGCAACCCCCCCCCCCATTTACAGGGTATGATAATCATCATAAATCATTTTAAATCCCGACATATGAATGTATTATAAGGTAAAACGCCCCCAACGCGTTCTATAACATTGTTAGGCAGAGGTGGGGAAATTCCACGGTCTTTTGGCGAGGCCAAGTCTGTCCGTGTTAACGTTACAATGATAAGACGTGTTATAGCATCTACACATGTAAATTCGTTCACCGGGTGCAGGTGAACAGACCTCGTGTCGTGTTGCATGCAAAGTCCATGTTTTTGAAAGGATGCTCGTGTTTTGCTGTTTATACAAATTATGTTTACAAAGCGTCGCGCAACATCACGATGTGAATACATTGCTGGACAAAGGCCTCCCTGTGCCGTGTCACTCTTGGCGAGTATTTGACCATACTTCATCAACGCTGGCCAGTGCGGGTAAGCGACGAATGCAGGTGGCCCAGGAGGGGATCTGAAATCAATCGCACACTGATTTTGACCCTCGGGAGGTATAGACTTTAAGTGGCAGTTTTCATAACGCAGTGCGCGGCTGACACAGGACATGACATACATTGTATTGAGTCTGAAAATGGTAACGAATATAATTCGCATAAAAAATAAACGAGATACGGATCAAATTTTTTTTAAGCTTTCGTGACTGCAGGGATTCATATTCTTGGTTCTTTCGGTAAAGTCACGTAGAAGGGAAACAATAAAATAATAAAAAATATAAAACAATAAAATTCTCACGTGTGAAAACCACACCTGATGATGATTGCTTGTGTTGCAGTCGAAACGTCGTGAGAATTGTGTTGTTTTATATTATTTAAATTATTATTTTATTGTTTCCCTTCTACGTGACTTTACCGAAAGAACCAAGAATAGAATCCCTGCAGTCACGAAAGCTTTAAATACAAATTTACTCATTGGCAGTCAGGTAAAGCGTAATTATGCATGAGTCGATTATACTTTTTCATGTCTACCGTCTTGTTGGTATGTTTTTAGATAATTGTTTTTTTTTGCTTAATTTGGAATTTTTTCTTCGTGTCATTAAGCTACGTAACGAAGAACTCGTTTTTCTTTTTACAGCCATTTGTCAATCAACTGCTGTTGTGAATGTCTGTTGATCATCGGGGTTGTTTGAAAATACTTCAACAACACTAGTTCGTGCGGATGAAAGAAAGGCAGCGAGACAGATTCACATAAAACTCGCCACTTATGTTAGCAGCGGCACTTATGATTCCACGCATATCCAAATAGCACTGTTGACGATGTACGGTGCGAAAGAAGTTCAACATAATACATACTTTTGATTTAAAGCTTTCGTGACTGCAGGGATTCATATTCTTGGTTCTTTCGGTAAAGTCACGTAGAAGGGAAAACAATAAAATATATAAAAAATATCTAAAACAATAAAATTATCACGTGTGAAAACGACACCTGATGATGATTGCTTGTGTTGCAGTCGAAACGTCGTGAGAATTGTATTGTTGTATATATGTTTTTATTGTTTCCCTTCTACGTGACTTCATCGAAAGAACCAAGAATATGAGATACGGATCGAGAAATGTACGTAGGTATATATACACACACATTGTTCAAGGCTCGTTACCATCAAATCGCATCCTAATAGGAATCTGCATGACCTCTCCACCTCATCCGATCTGCCGGTCCGGGAGGTCAGCTTAATCAAGCGACAGGCGGGATTGATCGGAATGACATTTTGATGGTGTCAAAATCGCCTCCGCTTAAATTTGACCCATGTATTTTAAAATAGAGGGTTTTTTTTTACTTGCGTGAAGTTTGAGTTTGTTTTGTCTAATCATTGAATGCAAACTCAAGAGGCCAGGATGAGTCCCATGTTTGCACGAGTCACCTGGTTCACCAAAACGACAATAGTCGAAACAAACAAAACCGATACAATAACAATCAAACAAATACAATCGACGTAAATGGTAATAGCCTTATAAATACATTCAGCAGCTGCAATGAATGCATCTCAATATCTAAATCAGCACAACCTCCCGTAAAACTCGTGACTTGTGTGGCCCACCCCCAATCGGATTCCCTTCGCCTCCCCGAAAACAGACGCTGCTCCGTGGGGCGTCTCGGCCCGTGTGAGGCCTCTTTCTCCCCGTCCTCAGTTCTCCCGACTCATTTGCTCCCGTTTCTCCAATCCCTTTCGACCCGTTGCCCCTTTATTTCTCGTTCTCTTCCATTTCCAGCCCCTTTTTCTTCGACTCCAGTTCCTCTGACCGTGGTGCGTCACGGGAAGAAAAAAACAACAACCGTTGATCGTAAAATAGAATTTGATTGCGCTAAATGGATAAAACCAACTTCCAAATATTCAACAACACCAATTGTAAGTGATGCACATTGCAATGAGCAGTCGGCACAAAGGCAGAGCATTGTGCGTTCCCTTTCCTGAACGCAGAACAAAAAAACTCAACACACACGCAGCCTTGCGTGCGGTCATTCCCAATGGATGATTGTCTCCCTGAACCATGGGAGACTCATATTCTTGGTTCTTTCGGTAAAAGTCACGTTGAAGGGAAACAATAAAATAATAATATATATAAAACAATAAAATTATCACGACGTTTCGACTGCAACACAAGCAGTCATCTTCTTTGGTTCTTTCGGTAAAGTCACGTAGAATGAGAATAAAATAATAAATTGATAAAATAAAATAACACAATAATATTCTCACGACGTTTCGGCCACAACACAAGCGGCCTTCATCAGGTGAAGGGACGAGACTGTCTGGTAGGACAGCGCTGGAGTCATCATTAGGTGTGAAAACCAACGGCAAGAAACTTTTGGTTTTCACACCTGATGATGACTGTTTGTGTTACAGTCGAAACGTCGTGAGAATTTTATTGTTTTATATATATTTTATTGTTTCCCTTCAACGTGACTTTACCGAAAGAACCAAGAATATGAATCACTGCAGTCACGAAAACTTTAAATCATGTGAGTCTCATTAATACCAAACGTAGCCACGCTGGTCAGTGCACGTTGAAGGACCCGCGGACTGGTTCTGGCAGCACTTGCCACTGATGTTAGCCGTGCAGATTAATTGCCAATTGTCTAGACTCGACAATGGATTATTTACTATTTCGTTTCCACGGCCTCGTGTATTCTGCCTTGATCTCGTTTGTTCGATTCGCCCACAATCGTAACATCATAACTTAATTTGCATACATAGTTAATAATCACGATTTGATGCATGTATGCAGGCAGTCGTTAGCGCATGCAATAATCGAATACAATCAAAAGATTAGGGCCGAATATAAAAAAAATGTTGTACATAACACGGTGTGCCGGGGGGGTCGAGGTGGGAGCTCTGCCCCGTACAGCTCCGGCTGCAATTAATCCGTGACGGTGTGAAACAGTTTCAAATATGAATCAACCTTCGATGTACATATTACTATGTATAAAGCATGCATTCCGAGGTCGTTCACTTAAATGCCATATTAACGCTGTAAGCCCGTACGTGTTGATATACGAGACACAGTCCGTTTAAATAACAGCTTCTACACACAACCCTCTCCCCTTACGGGAGATCGCTCCTCATTTCTCCCGTGTCGCATCTCTATCGTCCCCCCCCCCCCCCCAGCTGTAGCCCTCTTTGTGCGTGGCTGCTGAAATTAAGGTCAGCAGTACAGGGACTCCTCTTACGAACGAGTTAGGTTCCAGAGGTCTGTTCGTAAGTTAATTTGTTCGCAAGTCCAACTTTACTCTTGTCGATTCCAAACATGTTGTACGGCATGTACACTAAACACCGGAAATGGCTTTAAACGTTGTATAATCTCATGTAGATGCCACTGGTTCTTCGCGTTCTGCACATGTAGATGCCACCACCGCCATATGTTGCTCGCACGTACGACTCTAGGTCCGAAAAGGCAACTCGACATACGGACAGGTTTGTTCGTATCTCTGAAAGTTTCCAAGTCGAATGTTCGTAAATAGAGGAGTACCTCATTTGGTTAAACATACTGCACACTTTTCTCTGCTAAAATGCCGCACCTGTCGAATGCCTGGATATGCTGCATGCAAAAAAAAAGTGTGCATCTAGTACACCATTGTTTAGTGTCCTCTGCTGCCGAACTCTCTCCAGACATGCGTGCTGTCGACTCCCTTGAGCAAGTCGATGCTTAAAACCTTCCTGCCATCTTCTCCAATGATAACCGAGCGCCTCTTCTATAAACACGGCCATCTCCACGTGGTGTTCTTTAAATCCACATTATATCGTATCATAATGCACAACTGTTTGATCGGCTGACTACTTACCTCAAGCTCACGTGTTTACCGTCCACATAATATAGCATTTGTATATATGCTGCACGGTATTAAGAAATGTAATGTATAAAATAAAAGCAAGGCATGACATCAACGTGTGGTTATTTATTACGAATCTGCAATGCATGCTCTCCTTCCAAGTCATGCATTTTAATATTTTAAAAAATAACCCGTAAAAATGTGGTTCTGACTCGGCAAAAAACCGAACGCAGTAAAACTAATTACAAATGACAACACACATTTAAAAGTGATTTTTAGCTTACCCTGAGATTTTACGAAGCACCAAAATATATATATCAGGAGAGTCACTCTCAGCAGTTGTGCACTGCGACCTGTTTTCCAAAAACTGGATTGTAGAACGAAATGCGTCAACATAAATGGAGGAATCCGTCACCAGTTTACATTCGCCGATGTGGTCACTGCAGTACAAGACACCGCGGAAACGAATTACACAACAAATGATTAGTAGGGGCGACATTGGACTTACGATGTCACGTACAGCAAGTTGACAAAACATTCACACATCTGTTGGGAGGTTCTCCTTTAATATTTCCGTCTAATCAGTCTCCCGTTTGGGAATGCGTCATTACAAAAGGGTCGAGCTGAAAAGCTGAGCGTGGCAACACAACCGGAGGCCGCGCGACACCGCACACCAACGACCCATCTACGCACTAACTACGCGACTTTACCGAAAGAACCAAAGAGTATAGATTTTAAAGCACATCGGCTCCAGTGGCTTCCTGCTATCAGAAGGAAGAGCATACAGCGGCCGTCTGAAACGCTTTCCCGATATTATGAAGCCACTGGAGCTATGCACTTTTAAATCTCGATTGGAAACTAATTTCTTCAGAACTGCTTTTTGCGTTTAGTTTTGTTGTCTTTTCCCCAGCACCTCCGATTGGCACGGTTGGCTACGTACTGTGGGAGAGAAGTTCAAAATACATCCGTACATACATAGAGGCAAGTTATCACAATCTACTCATTGGCAGTCTTGGTTCTTTCGGTAAAGTCACGTAGAAGGGAAACAATAAAATAATACATTACTGTGGTTTTCACACCTGATGATGATTGCTTGTGTTGCAGTCGAAACGTCGTGAGAATTTTATTGTTTTATATTTTTTTAAATTATTATTTTATTGTTTCCCTTCTACGTGACTTTACCGAAAGAACCAAGACTATGAATCCCTGCAGTCACGAAAGCTTTAAATAAAAATTTACTCATTGGCAGTCAGGTAAAGCGTAAAGCGACAGCCACCACAAACTTCCACATCTGTCATGACCCCCCCCCACCACGCACCCAACCTGTCACCAATTAACATATCTATCAGAGGTTATTGTATCCAGATCTTTATTGTTGGGTATCAACTTTGGAATCAAGAGATTATTTTGCCAACAAGGT